AATACGTTACATTATTTCAAATGTACTAAATTATTAATCTCTACAAATTTAAATTACAGTTTTGTCATAGCTTGTCACAAATGTCTCAATTCGAGTATGTTTCCGTCTAAAACATGGCATTCGTGTGCTGACAAACGTCAAAGGCGGCATCTGAGAGTGGGCATTCTGCCTCTGGTCTGTCGAAAATTTGCAAATATTAGTTGCAAACTTTTCACGTCATACAGAATCAACAGACTGGTATAACAGTTATTTCAGTATTTCTACTTTTGTCAGCCGTTCGAATTGATTCCGATTCAAACCAAAAATTCAATATATCATTCAATTCATGACCAGATTCCACAAGAAATAAGATAATACTTAGTCTCCGCTGTGGACAGAATCTCACTACTTGTGTTGGTACATTATCGCCCGGTGATGTTGCGTCTATCAAAGAACTTTTCAGCATGTAGTCTATCCACCTGCGGCTTGTTTCGTCTATTCATGCAACCATTAATACCATCGAAACCATGTAACTTGGGCGATTGGTGTGTTGTACATAGGCAAAAAGAAGTCACTCCTTGACTAAATGTATCACAACGAGTAGTGGACAAAGGACAAGAGGACAAAGCCAGCTAAAACTCGTGCTGAAGGTTATTCCATAGACATGAGGTTTTTCAATAAATCTTCTTAAAAAGTAATTAGTATCGATTCATAAAATGAAAGAAAATAGCAACGTGCTTGTAAGTACCTAGATTGATGTGAAAAAGAAAACATAGTAAACGAAATTTTTAAAATCGGAGGCATTGCATATTTATCAACAAGTCAAGTTCCTTTTTATGCCGAGTCCAATGCAGCAAGAACATAAAAAACGTAAACGATTGGATACTATCTAAATATGATTGGAATAACATACGTATCTATATTCATTGATCATACTTAAGTAGGCTAGAAAAATCAAACATGAGTAAGCCCATTTATTCTATTAATTATTTTGTCTAATATTTTTGTTTTTGTTTTTCTCGTGTAATGTTGTCGATTAATGCATATAGGGATTAGTTAATAATATATTATATCTATTAATAGTTGCGATAGCTTTCGAAATTCTCCATTCGAGCATGGATCAATAGGACTTTTCATCAAAAAGTAGTCGCAGCCGGTTTTTTCGAACATACATTTTGTAAACAAACAGTTTAGGTAATGCAGGCCATTCACGTTCCGACTTGTGGTACGACTAGTGGTCCAACTTCTGCAGTTGGATCTGAAATCGGACCGTGAGTGGGCTAGTTGGATTAGTTGGACAACTAGTGGTACGACTAGTGGGACGACTTGAAGATCCGACTTCCGACTGGCGACGAAGTCGGAGCGTGAATGGTGAAGTTGGAAGTCGGATCACAGGTTGGATCGAAAATTTCCTCAGTCAGTTGACTTTCGGCACCTGTTATGTATGAGATTTCTATGAAATACTTTACGCAAAGATCTCTAGTTCGCAAATATTTATTAGAAAATAAACTTTCAATTGCACGAAAATTACCTTTTTGTTAGGGCAAATCATTTTCCTTTCTGTAGATCTATTTCGGACATTCCTATACAGGTAAATTTCCGATACTCCGGATTGGCTACAGAAGAATTATCAACATACAATAAAAATTAAATCATACTTGTAGCAAAAGATCCCTAGTTCGCAAAAAAATAATAGACAATAACTTTCAATTGCACAAACAATAATTATTCCTATTAAAAATATACGACACACACACAACAAAATAAATCCCAGCTCCAGTTTAAAACAAATAAAATATAGATTTTATACCTATACAAATCTTTAAAAACTATAATTTTTTCCTACATCTTAAAAAGTCATAAAAATCAAGAGTTGAAAAAATTAATTAGTTCAGCCCTAGACAAATACCTAGAGAAACTAAACCTAATTTTAAATTATCATAACATACAATAAAGATAACAAGCACAGTGCTGTCATTTTTCTCCTCCTAATTATATTTTGCGTAGTCTTTATTCGATACATCCTAGAACTGTAGTTGGACCGCTAGTTGGATAGAAAGTCGGAGCGTGAGTGGAGACGAACATCCAACTAGTGGTCCTACTTAGTGGTACCACAAGTCGGAACGTGAATGGCCTGCATTAGTAATGCAGGCCATTCACGTTCCGACTTGTGGTACGACTAGTGGTCCAACTTATGCAGTTGGATTTGAAATCGGACCGTGAGTGGGCTAGTTGGATTAGTTGGACAACTAGTGGTACGACTAGTGGGACGACTTGAAGATCTGACTTCCGACTGGCGACGAAGTCGGAGCGTGAATGGTGAAGTTGGAAGTAGGATCACAGGTTGGATCGAAAATTTCCTCAGTCAGTTGACTTTCGGCACCTGTTACGTATGAGATTTCTATGAAATACTTTACGCAAAGATCTCTAGTTCGCGAATATTTAATAGAAAATAAACTTTCAATTGCACGAAAATTACCTTTTTGTTCGGGCAAATCATTTTCCTTTCTGTAGATCTATTTCGGACATTCCTATACAGGTAAATTTTTGATACTCCGGATTGGCTACGGAAGAATTATCAAAAAACAATGAAAATTAAATCATAGTTGTAGCAAAAGATCCCTAGTTCGCAAAAAAATAATAGAAACTAACTTTCAATTTCACGAAAAATTATTCCTATTAAAAATATACGACACACACACAACAAAATAAATCCCAGCTCCAGTTTAAAACAAATAAAATATAGATTTTATACCTATACAAATCTTTAAAACCTATAATTTTTTCCTACATCTTAAAAAGTCATAAAAATCAAGAGTTGAAAAAATTAATTAGTCCAGCCCTAGACAAATAACTAGAGAAACGAAACCTAATTTTTAAACATACATATCATATTATTATATTTTGCGTAGTGTTTATTCGATACATTTTTTGATTAAGCCATGTACACCATCGTGAAAACAACCTAGGACTGAAGTTGGACCGCTAGTTGGATAGAAAGTCGGAGCGTGAGTGGAGACGAACATCCAACTAGTAGTCCTACTAAGTGGGACCACAAGTCGGAACGTGAATGGCCTGTCTAATTTAAATAATATAGATAATTAATATAAAAAATACCAAAGAAAGTCTAGTGGTGGTCATGGGCGGATCTAGGGAAGGCACAGGGGGCACGTGCCCCCCCCCCTCCCAAGCCCTCATAAAGTTTTTTTTTTTTACCGATAAAATAACACAATATTTTAGCTACCTTACTGCAAGTAGCTAATATAATAATATCCAAACAGATACATTATTAACTTAAATTCTTGCTACAATAAATCACCATCACTGCTCTAGGGTGAGTCGTGAGTCAGCCGCGAGCTGCCTGCCCCAGCTGACTTGACAAGTCCAAGGTCCATTCTTTCATCGGAATTCATTGTGAGCTTAGTGGTTTTAGAAAATGTTATGACTCTTACACTACCACTGGCTAGGAAACTTCAAGCTGAGTATATGGATGTACTCAATGCAATGACATTGATAGATGCTACCCTCAAGAGCATGCAAGAACAAAGGGCAAACAATGAAGAGTGTTTCAAAAGACTGTTTGAAAAAATGCAAAACCTGGCCTCTAAAATGGGAACTGAATTAAAAAAACCAAGATTAGTTGGTCTTCAAAGAAACAGACCAAATGTGCAAACTGACACAGTTGAAGACTACTTTCGATTGTCTATTTATCTCCCTTTTTTGGATTTTCTCGTCTGTGAAATGAAAAATAGATTTCCAAAAAATCAATTGGTCCAGATTGGAAAGCTCCAGATGCTTCTACCAGTACTAAGTAAATTTTCAGATCTCTATGAGGACTCTGTTTTAGAAGGGGCTAAACTGTATGAAAATGACCTCCCATGCTATGAAGCTTTGAAAGGAGAGTTGAGTATTTGGAAACACATGTGGAATTCTAGTTCAGAAGGTTGAAGCTTCCCTAAACACCCTGCTGAAGCTATGAAATACTCATCCGATCTGCCCAACATAACAGTGTTGCTCCAGCTTATTTGCACACTACCTGTGACCAGTAGTACTGCTGAACGATCGTTTTCTACTCTCCGCAGATTAAAAACCTACTTAAGGTCTACCATGACGGAGGAACGACTTAATGGGCTGGCAAGTTTGCACATACACCAGGAAATAGCTTCCAGTTTAGATCCAGATGAAGTGTTGAAACTTTTTGCAAGGAAGCACAAGCGGAAGTTGTCTTTTTCATTAAATTGAACATTTAGTAAATGAATTCCTTATTCATTAAACATGTTTTTACTTTACAGTTTTAATTATTTCAGTTGTTCTTTTTATGTATTTCTGGGTTTTAACAACTGTCCAATCCTGTATATATATTTAACTACATTAATACTTAATAGGCCTATGTAAATAGACTTACCTATTAACTAAAACGGTGTTTTTTATTTACTGTACCTATAAACAATTTTCATAACGTTATTTTAGACACTAATTGTATTTCAGTTTTTTTGGTCATATAACTTTAATAAGTTTAGTAATTGAAAAAATTTAAGTATCACCTAGGTTTATTTCAACATCGAAAAAAGGATAGTGCATTTAAACTACTCTGTTTTAGGCACTGCTCCAAAGAAACTAAACTTCATAAACCCATTAAAAAACACGAATTTAAGAAAAATGAAGTTGCACTTTTTGAACAAAAATGTGCTAAAAACGTTGTTTTCAGAGGCTTAAATTCCAAAAAATTTTCGGGGGAGGGCCGAACTTCCCTCTTTCTGGGGGGTTACCCCGCAGACCCCACAATGGTGCCCCCCCAAACATAAATCCTGGATCCGCCCCTGGTGGTGGTCTAGTTAATGAAAAAAATTAAGTGCCACTTTTTTTACTCCTACCTCTCCGTCTATGGTTTAACGAATGAACGAGTATGTCAATAAATCGATCATAGTACATATCGATCATTGCGATTACGATCAATAATCGAATGTTGGGAAGAATACTAACACCTGTTGATTTGTTTTTCTTACCATCCAAATTCCCAAGAAAAAGTCATGACAAATGTGTCTGTGGTACCTGTATTTAGCTTCATTTAATTCACGATCACAGCACATACCATTACCATAGGAAGGTATGTGCTGTGGTTTCATTAACCAGTTTAACCTGTAGTTTTGGTTGATATTGGCATTTGTTTTTTTTTTTAATTTTAAAATCTTCTGTTCAGATAGGTAATTATCATGGCAAAAAGTGGAGTGTATGATACAAACAAAAGTGAACTTTCGGTAGCAGAGGAAAGCTCAATTAATGATGCTTTGGGGCCCGAAGCCAGATTTGAGTGTCCAATTTGCTTAGCTTGGTTAAGAGACCCTGTTTTAACTTCTTGTGGACATAGGTTTTGCAGGAATTGCATATATCCTTGGTTGGAGTAAGTACTACCTTATATTGATAAAACTACACCCATTTCCATATTAAGATGTCCTAATAAGTAAAGCAAAAATAGAAATGTGTAAGGAAAAGAAAAGAAAGACTAAGAAAATCAGATTATATTGGAATTGTTATCACTATGAAGCTAATGAGTACTTACCTATGATAAGTGGTATGTGAAAATACTTATTGTATTGACATGTACATTATACCAGAATGACAGATATTTTGGAAAGTGAAACTCAATGTCCCAATAAGATTTACTCAATATATTCTGCGGATTTTTGCCAATATGGAAGTTATATGAGGAATCTTTGGGCAATTGAACAAAAACAGTCAATTTTATATGTTTAATATGGTCTTATGAAACAAAATGTGTCTTTTGTAAAGGAACCAAATTATTCACAACTCAGATTTAAAAATATGTCCAGTGGAAATAAGTAGCTAGAAACAAGGCATAGGTACCAGTAATCATGACAATAGCTTTGAAAATAAAGCATGTAATAAGATCACACAGTAAATGCTTAAAAATAGGAGAAAATGAATATATGTGGAAGTTTAAATGTCGAAATTAATTGCAATAGTTATTATTAAAAATAATATTTAATAAAAGCTCTAGTACTACAAGATTTTGATAATAAACAATTTAAAATTTTACATCTTTTTTGAAAATCAAACATATTTGGGGGAGCAATAGTTACTTTTTGAAACTGTTTGGTAAAAGCTGATAAATTTGTAATATTGTGTTAACATTTCAAATTGTTCAGTTTTCCATTTGTGACCTGGTTAAGTATCTACTTCAATAAAGTTGTTTATTTTTTTTATATAAAATATTGAAGATACTATGATATGCAGCCTTTATGAGTCATTTACACTCTCCAAGTATTGGTCAGTCTGACTCACACACTAAAATATGCATAAATTAAATGATTCTTAGTACATAATGTACATGTGTAGACTAGACTAATTGTCAGTCACATTTTAGTTAAAATCTTTACCAAAATAGGTAACTTAAATCACTTGTAGTAAGCTAAAATTTAAATTTTTTTAGAAAATGATCTCCAGAATGTTGTGTATAACTAGAATTTTAATGTTTAAGTGACAAAGTTATGATATATAAGTCAGGTAAAAATCTAAAAAGAAACTTTTTATAATTGCTGAAAATTTGGTGTGAAAAAAGTGGGATTATTCCAAAATAATGACACAAAGAAAATTTTGTTATGCTTTTTTTGTTGTTGCATAATTATTTTTCAATCCAGTTCTCTGCAAACTGGTTAGACATAAAAAGTCAGCAATTTATGCAACAAATAATGTTCCATGCAGCAAATTTTTAAAAATTATCCATGCAGAACTGGAAAAAAAATTATTATGCAAGAACAAAAAAAGGGTATTGCATTTATCTTTTCATTGTTGTAATGGATTCATTTAATATTTAAGTTGCTAAATATTGTTTAAAGAAACAGCCCTTAGTGTCCAGTGCTGGATAGAGTCCACATATAATATTCTCCATCTATTTTGATCATCTGCTGTTAATAACCAATTGTTAGAATTTTTAAATGTCCTTAGAGTTCAATATTTTTCACAATTTGTTTATGAAAACTTAGTTAAGTGTAATATTTTTCTAAATTTGTGTATGGAAACTTGGTAAGTGCAATATTCTTCACAGTTTGTGCAAGACAACTTGTTAAAGTTCTTTAATTGTCATCAGACGAGTGTGTTTATAGTTGTTCTCTACTTTGTATTTCAGTTCATTTTTTATTCATTTCAACAGCTTGCATCCCCTCTCATATCCTTGAGCCTCACAATATGTCCTGCTCAGTATCATTGCATGATGGGGGCGTCACCCTTACATCACATGACTGAATGATCTGTGTCAGCCTAAGCTAGAATTGTTCTTGTCATCACCCAAGTTTGGTTTTCCCTGCTGATTCTGATTTCTTGTCTAAAATTTTTGTATTTTTCGCCCAATCCAAATGGTAGATCCTAGATTTGTCATAGGTTTGTTTAAAATCTTTAAGGTTGATTTTTCATTCTAAGATTGTTTCACAACTTTTTCTACTGTAGCATATCGAGATTGCTTAATTAACTTTCTGCGGACATATCTACAAAAGTCCAAGTTCAAACACACTGCAACCAACCCTAAACAGGTACCACAACCTGCTAATTAATTGTTTTTTTGTTAATTCGTGTAGTATTAAGATACAAGAGTTTGTATTGTTTTAGTTGCATTTTACCAATTAAAAAAATGTATTTTAGAAGGGGTAAAGCCTGTCCGGTTGACAACATGAAACTAAATGAAGCAGATATATTTCCAGATAATTTTACAAGAAGAGAAATATCGCAACAGCGTACCAAGTGTCCGAATATTGTCAGGGGATGTCTAGCCGAACTTTCTCCATTGGATATTGAAGCTCATCTTTTAGTGTGTGAATATAAAATACCTGAATTACCTGATAACGAAAAATTAAGATGTTCTTTTGTTGACGTTGGTTGTAAAGAGAAGTTTGAAGATGAACCTAAACTTACTAAACATTTAGAAGAACAGATTCAAATGCATTTAGCTGTAAGTAATGTAGTACTGCATAAATTATATTAAATTATAAACTAAACTGCTACAATGACAAAAATTAATATGCAGTATTCATTTTTTTTTTTTTCAATTTGATACAACCTTGCTAGACAAAAAATCTAGGTATTTGATATGTTAGTAATTATCTTGAATTTTTAAAGACATAATAGTCAAATGTTTGTAGAAAACATTCCAAAACGTCAACTATTAATATTTTGTATTTTAAAATTATTCTATAACATGTGAAACAGAAATATTAATGAAAAAAGTCAAAACCAAATTTTAACACAAATTAATATTTAGGTATTGAACTAATTCAAATGAATCTTTTTTAGCTGCTTTCGAAAGCATATTCTTCACTTTCTATTAACAAAAATGAACCTACTAGTTCATCAAGTATAGCCCAACAAGCTAATTTTTGGGATCCGCCACCAAAGAACTCAGAACCTTCAGCTTTACATGATGACAATTTGCAGGAATTGTTAAAGTAAGTTAAGTAAAAACTATGAAAACTCGAAATATATTTTCCTTTTTTTAATTTAATTTTTCGTTCAGTTTAAATTTAATATAATACACCTACTCCTTCCTAATGCTTTACTAGTACTTTCTTGCGCCGACAAACCCATGCAATGCGCATGACATTTACTAAACTAGTTCTGTTCTGCTTGTTACCACGAAGTTTTTTATTGTGGCGTCATAATGCCGTTTATTATTTTTATTGTGAATATGGCACAATGTGACTTTAAAATAAGCTTATTTTGACGTTTAGATTTCCAATTCAGAAATCGTACTTAAAATACAAAACACTAATAAATTTTATTTATATAAAACGATTTTCGAAGTGGAAATCAAAATCTTAAATTAAACTTATTGTAAAGTAAAACTGTGGCATATTCACAATAAAAAACAGTACAAACAAAATCAATTAGCCCAAATTTGATTATCTTATAACATGATCAACTGCTAAAAAGACAACAGGTCAAATAAAACCAATAAGTTTGCCAACGTTGAACTTCCCCTTTTTTGTTGAATTTATTATTTCCACTGATGCATTTTCAAAGATATAAAGGGCGGACCTAATTTACCTCTCCCTTTTTGAACAGGTATTTTTCACTCTCACGTAAGGTCCATACTGACGATAGATTATTACCCAGGCTGTATCATAGATGCATATCTGCTTTTTTAGATGTAGAAGTTGAGTGTTAATTTTCTTGTTTATTGTGGTATTATGCATTGTCTAAAACTATAACCCTGTTTGGAGGTAAATTGAAGATGGGCTTCACATGTGTCAAGAGTTAATGAAATTCATCTACCTAAACGAACCCTATTAGCGGCATCAATAGGAAATAGGAATAAGGGTAGACCAAGGATGAGATGGTATGTAGGGAGATCAGCGCAACAAACTGGTATAGGTTGGGGATGAACAAAAATGACTGAGGATGGTTGAGGCTCAATTAGGGCAGTAGCACCACTAATGATAATGAGTATCTTTAATTGGAATTAACCACAATTCAATTTAAAGATACGTTTATTGTTACGTTTGGATTTCAACTTCGGAAGTCACTCAAAATTAAAATTAAGCAGTTTGTTTTGTTGCTTGGTAGTACAAAAAATTCTTCTGATTTAATTTTATTTGACTTATTAAAAATGATCATTCAGACACCTATTATACATTTTCTAGTAGAGCAGTTTAAAATGATATTTTCAATATTTGTGAGTAGCGTTCCTGGGACGACTTATTGAATGAAAGTTCATTTGATTAAAATAAATTAATTTTAACTTTAGAAAGCCTATCAGAAAATAAATAATATATGTCTGAATTGTCATTATGAATGAGCAAATAAAATAAATAAGTTAGAACTAGTTGTATTGACAAGTAACAAAAAATATTAATTTGTTAAATTTTTATTTCGAGAAAGATTACCGAAGTGGGAATATATTTTTTTTATTATTTTCTGGTCAATTCTTTTTGTTTTTTACTTTTACATTTCATCATTTTTTCATTTTTAAAGTGAACTAAAGTTTAGCTATAATTAAATATATTACATATAGTATGATTTTTAGAACCTTATATGAAAAAATAGTATATCTGGAACAAAAATCCCGAGAACAAGATATAATAATAGCAAATATGTCTCAACAAATTGCATCGCAAAGTCTTCCCATGACCAAACTCAATCAACTTTATTGTAACGGTTGCTACTTGTGGTACGTTAGTGATTTTAAAAGCAAAATGACAGCTATGAGAGAAAACCCACATGTCATGTACTACAGCACTGGATTTTATACGAGTCCAAACGGGTACAAGTAAGTCTTATTACTATATATTATTTTTAAATGCTACTGGTAGGATCTCAAGTTGTAGATTTCAGAGTCCTTAGTTCAGCATGAAAATTTTCCAATATTTATTCAAGAGCCCGATCACCACATTTTCGAAAGATTCTCTATTTAGCAGCATCAATTTATTCTACCAGTTAAAGAATAAAAAATATATTTATTAATCTAAATTTCTAGATGAAGTTTTAAATTGACATAGGATTACTTAATAAACCACAAAAAAATATTATATTACCCAGATTAATATTCAAAAATCAATTCGCAAACTTTGACATCGGTCAAACTGGTAGAACATTTAACAAACGTATAGTAGAACACAAAAGGCTCTCAATAATTAAAAAAACAGATTCTAAAAATACCCTTCCCCTGCTAGATCATAATCATTCTTTTAATGGCGAATTTCAAATCCTCCATATTCAAAATAAATGCCTTATCCTATCTTTATTAAAATCTATAGACATTAATAAGTTAAAAAATACATATAGAATTCTGAATGACACAAACGGCTCTATCCTCCTCAACTTATTCAGTTACAGACTATAAAATGTATGCAAAATGTATGCATATAGTAAAAGTACATCACTTGAGAAAGGCACTCTACCGAAACAGCTGTAGTTTAATTGTAAATAATTTCAGATTTAATGCGTTTACTAATATTATTATTATTTCTACAGGTTATGTGTCCGTTTAAATTTATCCCCCAAAGATAATAACTACATTGCGATTTTGATCCATGTTATGAAAACTGACCATGACCATACTTTAGATTGGCCGTTTACTGGAAAGTTAAGCATAACTTTAGTGCATCCTACGTAAGTATAATATAACAAACTAAAAACTTTGATTTTTTTATTAGTTAACTTATACTTATAACAGATCTTTGTCAACGGACTTCGGTCGGGCGAAATACAAATCCTAAAACGTACGGGCGCATCTCATGTGTGAAATTAAAATTCTACCTAAACTTCTTCTTAGGATGCCTGTCCGTTCCGAACGTTGGCGATCATTCTGGCTATGATGGCTTTGTTGGTTGCTATACAGAATAGCTGTGTTGAGGTCTTTCTGTACCATGCCCTCAGATAAGCAAGCCAGAATATTCTTCTTCGTCTAGGGTGCCTTTTTTCCTTCAATTTTACCTTGCAAAATGCATTGGAGTAGCTCATATCTGCATTGATTTCTCATTATATGTCCCAAGTACTTCACGATTTTGACCAAATCCGAGGTTGTATTCATTCTCTGTAGTACTTCTTCATTGATGACTTTGTCTGTCCATGGTATCTTCAGGGTCCTTCTGTATAACGATAGCTTAAAAGCCTGAAGTTTTCGGCTTTTCGTTCATACCTGACACTATCGAAAGCCTTCTTGTAGTCCAGTGGTTCTCAACCGGTGTTCCGCGGAACACTAGTGTTCCGCGAATTCCTTCCAAGTGTTCCGCGAAATACTCGCAATCCTACATACCATTTTGCTAAATTACTCTTTTCAAATAAATATTTTCAAATTTTAAAATAGCCACTTACGTACATTTTAATTTAATAAAATTCTGCAGCGTAAATGTTCATTTGCCCAACACCGCGTCGACACAGTGCACACGTTGGATTTTATAAGCGCTGAGCTCCGCAGTGGCCACAGCCAATCTGAGTCACCCACGCCACAGTCTGCAACTGAATGTTGAATTTGTTACATTGCACAAACGTAATACGTGAAAATCGCTGTCAGTTTTTTTATGATAACGTTTACGTACGGCTTATCTATCAAAGGTAAGTAATTGCATATTTATACAAAATGTGAAGCATTCATCCGCATTATTTTGTTTAGAGACGAATAAATTAAAATGGATAAGTTCCTCAAACTTAAAAGAAAAACTACTGTGGAACAACTCATAATTAATGATGATGAAGCGAGCACCAGCGGAGATACTGGAACTTTACGAAGTGGGGTTGATGACAAATCGAAGCGCAGCAAAAAAATGTTGAACCGGCAATATTTGGATGAATATTTGGATTTATGGCTTCATTTGGACTGGGGAAGAAGACTGTCCAATTCCCAAGTGTATTGTTTGTGGGCAGACACTCGCTAATAGCACAATGGCTCCGGCTAAATTAAAACGCCATTTTACTACCAAACACGCTAGTGTAGCTTCAAAAAATAAAGATTATTTCAAGCGACTTTTGGAGACACAAGCGAAACAATTTGAAAGGTCGCTAACAATTTCCGACAAAGCACAAGTAGCTTCATATAAGGTCGCCGAATTAATTGCTTAGAAACAGAAACCACACACTGTTGCAGAATCTCTTATATTACCAACATGTTGTGAGATGGTCAAAATTATGTTTGGCAACGATGCACAAAACGAAATACGGAAAATTCCTATGTCGGATGATACAATAAGAAGGAGGATTGTTGCTTTATCTGCAGATATTGAGGAAAAAGTTACAAATAAACTTTACAAAAAAAACTTCGCATTGCAGGTGGACGAATCCACTGATATTAGTGGCAAAGCTCATTTATTAGGATTTATTCGATTTGTCGACGAAGGTGAAATAGTCAATCAGTTTTTATGCTGCAGAGAACTTACAGCACGTACAACAGGTCAGGATGTATTTGATTCCATAACGTCATATTTAGAGAAAAAAATATATCATGGGACTTTTGCGTAGGAATTTGTACGGATGGTGTCCCTTCCATGGTAGGCTCCATAAAAGGTTTTTGTACCCTTGCAAAAAAGCGAAATGAAAATATCATATCTACGCACTGTTTCTTGCATAGAGAATCTCTAATTTCAAAAACGCTACCAGCTACTTTGAAATCTGTATTAGACCAAGGGGTTAATGTTGTGAATTACATCAAATCAAGACCACTAAAAACCCGTCTTTTTAAACAACTCTGCATCTCAATGGAATCAAAGTATGAATGTTTGTTGCCGCACACCGAAGTTAGATGGTTGTCAAGGGGCAAAGTATTATGTCGAATTTATGAACTTAGAACGGAGCTGTTAACTTTTTTCCAAGAAGAAGGTAATGACACATTTACCACATATTTTGAAAATTATGCATGGTGCACTAAAGTGGCATATTTGGCCGATAGTTTTAATTATTTAAATGGCGTTAACTTAAGTATGCAAGGCAAAAATGAAAATATTTTAACATCCACGGACAAGCTGTCAGCTTTCCAGAAAAAATTGTCATTTTGGAAGAAGCGCATTTTAGAGACAAATAAAATGGATATGTTTCCACTGCTTCAGAATGAAGGTGATGAAGATAAAGAACAAGAAATCACGCATATAGTTACAGAACACTTATCACTATTAGAGGAGACAATTGCCAGGTATTTTCCATCTCTGAACGTAGAAAAATATGACTGGATAAGAAGTCCTTTTAGCACAAGTAATACAGCCAATTTCCAGTTTTCTCTGAACCAAGAAGAAGAATTTATTTCGTTGTCATCTGATCGTACTCTGAAAATTAAGTTTTCAGAAGTGAATGTTCAGGAATTTTGGATCTTGGTCCAAGAGGAATATCCACTTCTTGCCAAAAAAAGCGATTAGTATTTTAATACAGTTTTCAACGTCCTATTTATGTGAATTTGGGTTCTCATCTTTAACAAACATTAAAAATAAGAAACGGGAAAGGCTGCTAAACTTAGAACAAGAAATGAGAGTAGCTCTATCCCACATCAGGCCTGATATTGAGCAAATTTGCAAACGACACCAGGCACAAGTGTCTCACTAATTTGAAGTATTTACTCATATGATGTATTTTGAGAATTACGCTTTTGTTAATTTTAAAAATGTTTTTTGTTTTCATATTTTAAGTAAAATTTTACAAATTTGAGTACGTATAATAAAGTCTATTACAGAATTTATGTGCTAATCCTAATTTGTTTATCAATATATGCATGTTATTGCTTTGGTGTTCCGCAATTTTTTTCGGTAATTAAAAGTGTTCCGTCGCCACAAAAAGGTTGAGAACCACTGTTGTAGTCAATTAGGCATGCAAATACCTGCACGCCAAATAAAGCGTACCAACGGCGTTCACAAATCCAAACTGATTCTGCGCAATTTATTCCTTGCATGTCCGGTAAATTCTTTTGTGGATAACTTTTAAATACAGCTTCAGCAGATGGATCATTAGGCTTATGGTCCTATAATCTTCACAAACTTTTGCTCCTTGTTTTTTGGATAGTTCGGATAATCGACTCTCTATTGTATGTTGTTGGCTGTAATCAATTAATAATATCAATATCAGATTTTCGCAGGAATATTATAATTTGTATGTTTTAGTTACGACGCAAATATAGCATATTGTGCTATTTCTGTGATTATACTCTTTAATAATGATACAAAGTTCGTCAACTACTTTTTTAGATTTGAGAAAAAAATTAAAATATGAAAATTTGTTTTTTTCAAATAATTTCTGCATCAAAGTGTAAAGTTCAATTTTGTTCTGTTTTAGTCAATCTTTCAGAAGTATTAAAGAAACAATGATAACCCGTCCAGAACTAGATGCATTTAAACGTCCAGTTCAAGATATGAATTCCAAAGGATTTGGATATACGGAGTTCGCTCTATTGGAAGAGATAGTTGAACAAGATTTTATTTCTAATAATCAGCTATTAATAAAAGTTCAAGCTCAAACTGTATGATAGTTTTTAAAATGTTTTTTATAAGTTTATATTGCATACGTACTTAAATATAAAAGAAGTATTTTTATAAAGGTCTGAACGAATTTAAAGCGCGAATATTAATTCTGTTATAAACAGGTAATGTTATAAGGAAAAATAAAATTTTATATTTATTATATTGCTTTTTATTATTCATATAATAATGTAAATTATTGTAACTGTTATTGTAACCTCGGAAATCTTTTTTGGATGGTGCTAGAAAGGTCACCAATGGAGACACTGCACACGGCAGCTAGATAGTTGGTGGACGGGGGTTCGAAACTAGCTTTTGGAACCAGGAATGGATCCAATAGAAGAAATAATAAAGATAAAACAAGATAAGATGGATTAGAAAAGACAGAGAAATAGATAACAAGAGGGAAAGGGAAAATTAATAAACCTTAGAAACGAAAAGAGATAAGGTGAGATAATTATGTTCTGAAAGGAAAAGAAGAAAAGATATTAACAGTTAATTATTAAATAAAGGTGGTCAATACACTACATAAACAAATAATAAATATGTGCGGTGAAATTCGTCCATCTACTTACCTACAAACATATACAGCCTGATCTTTCTCCTGGTCGAAGATATCGTGATAGTTAAATATTTTTATTAGCAAAAGTAGATACATAAACAGTTCTTCTTCTCTTTTCAGTGCCCTGTCCGATTATCGAACGCTGGCGATCATATTGGCAATAATAACCTTATTCACGGCGGCTCTAAATAAATTAGCGATGGTTTCTTGATACCATTCTCGGAGATTTCGGAGCCAGGATGTTCTTCGTCGGCCTGGGCCTCTCTTCCGGCGATTTTACAGTGTATTATGAGGTGTAGCAGGTTATACCTCTCTGGATGTCTCATTACATGACCGAAATATTGTAACTACATAAACAGTAGATAAATAAAATTCAATAGGTAAACAAAACAAAATATATTCAATAACTGAATCACCAGACGGGTGTGGCAGCCGTAGCTCAGTGGCTATGTTACTGGCTTAACAAGCTGTAGGGCCCGGTAGACCTTAGCCAGAAGGTTACACGAACTTTACTTTCTTTATCAGACGGGTGAATTCCAAAATCAATAAATACAAATAAATCTACCGTAACATGTAAAAAATGCAAAATCTTTCAATATAATAGACACATGCACATATAAATAAAATATAACATTAAGGAGAACTTTATATATATATATATATATATATATATATATATATATATATATATATATATATAACGTTCTTAAAATTCATGGCAAAGTGGAGCATAGAGCTTCAGTGAAAACGCGCCATCGTGTTCTATTTTGCGCTAGGGCCTTCACCTCATTCCAAAACTTTCCTTGGCCTCTTATCTCGTCCATGATAGATATTATTAGTTATTACGTAATAGTATTAATTTGACTTTCGATCAGTAAGCTGACGCCGACGTTTCCATCCGAGCTCTTGTTAAGTGGAGCAATAAAAAAATAAACTTTGGTCATCCAAGGGATAGTTCAAAATAAAAACATTAAATTTATTGTCTCCGAAGGCTCAGGTCAAAAAATCAACAGATGTTGGCCTACTCGTGTGAAAGCGCTCACAGACAACAATACGAATATAGTATTTTTAGGAAATAAAAATATATAGAGGGTTTTATACACGAGAATATTTTATTTAAACGAAACAAAGAAATTCCTAAAATGCTCAAACTAAAAATTGTTGGAAACATAATTAGACCGATAATTGGGAAAATCTTAAAATTACAACACAACAAGACTTAAAACAAAATAAAAATATGGTTGCAAATAAACAAACTTACATTAAATTATGAAACAACGAAATATTCATCTAATTTTTGCTATATACAAAAGTTGTCTGTCAATGTTTAATTCGTTAAATATAAATAACAAAGATCAAATATATGGATCGGAGTACACAACATATTTAGGGAATAAATATTTAAATGGGAATTACAAATAAAAAATATTAAAACTTTATTTGTTATATATCTCAATATTTAGTGACAATTTTGTGACTTTATCAGGAGAAAACTGTAAATTTATTAAGATGAGATATTGACAAAAGTTAAATACTTCATTACTTACAATATACTTAGAATATACTTATTCTCTTATAGTTGTAAGTAATGAAGTATTATTTATAAATACAAAAAGTTCTTTGTTTAAAATTTGTTCTGTTAAAAATTTGTAGTGACAAATTGCAGACGAGAAGATTTATTGTTAAAAATGGATATACTTTATAATAGTTATAGGATTTGTTAACTACATTTTGAAGATAATCTTATTGTCAAAAAAAATAAAAGAAAAACATTAGTGCATGACGCAGTACCTTCCAAATTTCAATATAATACGATAAACACTAGTTTATCGTATTATACTCAAGTATTTTCATCTATGGTTCCATCAATACGATTTTCACCATACTTTGCGTTGTGCGATGTATTTGCAACCTTTTGTAAATCAAAAATAATTACACCATTTAGAATGTCAACAAAAGCCGGCCCTGCATGTAACTATTTATTCAGTGCAATATTTCATATTTATTGAAAGTCAACATAAATGCTCAATTTTATTTAAGAATTTATATTGTGTGATATGCCCACTGACTATTAGTTAGCTGGTTGCTTTCCTGTCATTTTTACTCCACAATACATTCATTGGCGACTTGCCCACGCAAGATCAAAGGAGTGTCGCTTCTAGTTTTCTGGTATCGCTACATTCTCATAAAAGAACTATATCGGACCTCTCATTCGTTTCGGCGAGGTGCAAAAGGGAGATTTTTGGATAAGGCCATTGGCGTAGCTGCGGTAATTGCAAAAGGTTTTTAAAATTAATCTTAAAGTATAATATTCCATAATTAGAATAAAATTTGGACACGCCTGCTATCCTAGTCATCTGTCCAAACTAAAAATCGTAAATTCAACTTTATGTCCAGACTGTCAAAAAGAAGGGGATCTAAATCACATTTTCTTCGAATGTAAAAAATACACAAAACAAACTGAAGATCTAATAAAAAATTTAGTTAACATCAAAATTTTTCCTCCGTACAATATGTGCTATCTGCTATCTCTAAATATAAGAGTTGTAAATGAATGTTTGATGGATTTTATTTGCAAAAGTAAGCTCAATATTTAACTGTAATTAGAATCCTAACCTCTGTTTTACCCCATTTGTTATTACCTTTTATCCGTGACCTAATCTAGTTTGTCTTAAAAGCAATGTCTTGATGGGTCCCTAGACGAGAAACGAGTGTCCATGTTTTATCCCTATCCTACCCTTAATAATAATTTTAATGCTTAAAATTTGTAAGGATACTTAAGTTTGAATTTTATATTATCGTTTTATATTGTACTACTCAATTTTTTTTTCTGGGTAGAATATTTTCATGTTGTGACTGGCTGTATGGCACTTGCCTATGCCATTAAAAAAAAAAAAAAAAAAGTATAATATAATAATTAGTTACTAATCTAATTATAAAAAAAATGTTACATTATTATTTAGCAAGAGTATTATAAATCTAATTTTAAATTATTTATGTAAATATACTCATAATAATCACTACAATAATGTATTAAGACTCTTTGAGGAAGTTAAATGTAGCAAGAAACCCGCTTTTAAAAAGAGAAATAAAAAATTTATTTAGCAAACGGTGTTTAGAAATTGGTCTGTATAGAATAGAATCGTCTTGTTTTAAATTTTTTCCTTTTTCAAGTATTTCCTTATGATCATCACGAGCTTCTCTAAAGAGCAGTAAGACTTTGACTTTGGTGGAGGGGCTCAGGACTGGCATGCTAAGAAAACTCAGACGGAGTTGCGGGAGAGTGAAAGTAGAGAGTTCATTCTAGAGGACAATTTTTATAATAAATGAAAAATAAACAGCATTTCATGGAAAAACCTCATAAACAGTCAGTTTTATTGTATTGTTTTGTTTGGACTTGTTAGTCGCTATCATTACTGAGTGGCGTGCGTTTTCATGTGGTTTAATTATTGTTCGTGTAAAAATGAGTGAAACCAAGTCAGATCCATTTAGCGCTAGTGAGTCAGACTATGAACCTACAAGCTCTGATGAAAGTTGTTTTAATAGTGATATCGTAGGACCTTCAGCTAGGAGGAAGTATCCAAAGAAGAAAAGTACCTCTGTAAAAAACAACACATTGAACCTGTTGTCAACATGGAGCCCACGGAAGATCCCCCAGTTGTTCCTGTAACCAAAAATAGAAAAAGTGCCAACCCCACTCCCTGGAAAAGAAATATCAAAAAAGGGCTATTGCAGAAGGGAAAATGTATACGAACTGGAACGGAATACAGAAGGGAACGAGATTAACTGGATCGAATTGCAACTACAGGTACAAGTGTTTTTCAGAATGTGGATGAAAACACCTATTTGGGAGGGTTGATTCAAACTACTACTATTCCAAGAACTCGAAAAAAGACTAATGAAAGGCAAGACCGCACTAGTTCCCACAAATATTTTATAAAGCTGGGTAAGCTATCCAAACGAGTTTGTAGACATGCTTTTGGTTCAATCCACGGCTATCAAGGAAACACTCAAAAATGTGAACATGCACATCCAGAGCTTGCCAAGGCGTGAATCGCATTATAATAGAAACAAATCCCGTCGATTATATTTATATCCAGATCTACATGTAAAGAAGATTCATCAACTCTATTTGGAACTTTACGAACCAGAAAGTGTTAGCAATCCCAAATATAAACCCAAAGTTCCCTATGACTTCTACTATCGATACTTCAAAGAAAACTTCAACTACAGGTTTGGCTCATTTCCATAAGATACATGCAAAAAATTTGATGTCTTAGATAACAAACTCATGTGACCCTCGACGAAAATGAACGAAAAGTTTTAGCAGCAGAAAAGAAGTTGCATGAAATTAGGCGCCGATTTATTTTTCAAGGAGCTGAAGGAGAAAACCACATTGTGCAAGCATAGCGACGAAATGAAGGTTCTGACCTTTCACTTCCAACAAAACCTTCCACTTCTAAAAATTCCTGCTGGGGAAACTTTCTACAATCGCCAGTTGTGGACATACAACTTCTGCTGTTATTCTGGTAAGATAAATCAAGCACACTTTTATATGTATGATGAAACTACGGCTCGAAAGTCACGAAACGAGGTAGTGTCATTTTTGTACCACTATATAAAAAATATCCTGCCTAAAAAGTTTTATACCTTTTACATTACATAACAAAAGCTCAGTAACGATTCAGTTTTTGTATTTTTGCTAGTGAGAACTAGGTCTATCGACAAGATAAAGCATCGCTTTCCTGAGCCAGGACATAGCTTTCTTCCCTGGGATCGCTGCTTTGGAGTTATTGAGAAGTTTTTAAGGAAGAAGGACTACGTTTTTAGCCCCCAACAATATACTGATTTTGTTAAACAAACATCCAAACAGTTTATTTCTATTCTGGTAAAACCAAATATGATGCTGAACTTTAGTGGTCACTATGAAGGAAATTTTAAAAAAGTTATCTCCAGATCTCCAAATACCGAATTTTCCAGTACAGCAATGAACATTTAGATGGTATTTAAGTCAGTATATCTACTGGCCTTCCGAGTTTTCACTTATTCCGAATCTTGAGAAACCTTGACAGCGACCCCTCAGTTTCTTTTGATACTACTGTCTATTGCAATACTATACCTGTCAAAAAAGCTAAATATGCATATGTAATGCTGGATTTAAAGAAATACCAAGAAGATCGCATTAAGAAAATCATAGAGAAGAACAAAAGCTTAAAAACAATGAAGACAAATATAGGAAAAAGAAAACTAATCATGCTTAAAGCTGAGAACAATGAAGAAAGAGATCTAGGAGAAATAGTAAAAATCAGAGAAAGATATTACACAGACCTATACAGTTCTAAAAATGACCCACCACTATCATCTAAACAGAATCTCTAGAGGAAAATACAAAATGTTGGCTCAGAGGTATGGGCAGCGTTCGGCAAACTCTCTTACGTTCTAAAAAATCAAACAATCCCTCTATACTTACGAAGCAAGGTATATAACTCCTTTTGGTGTCACTTTTGGTGTCATTTTTGGTGACACCAAAAGTGAAAAGATTAGCAAAGATACAAGGGCTCTCATGGAAATACGACGAAACCTAAGCGAGAACGAAAAGGGAAACAGAGAAGAATATAAAAAACTAAATAAAAGAATTTCAGCGGAAATTAGAAAAGATGTAAGAAGATATAATACTAATGTAATTACTCAAACAGTAGAAGAGAACAAAGGTTTAAAGATAATGAAAAGAAAACTTACGCAAAGTAAAAAAGAAATATACAAGCTGAGAGATAAAGACGGAAAGGCAACAACAGATAAACAAAACATTCTGAAAATAACTAGAGAATTTTATAAAGACCTCTATACCAGCCAAAGACCACAAGACAATTTCCCGACACGAGTAAAGACTCTCATAAATCAGGGATCGGAAATACTTTTACCCATTACTGTGTCAGAAGTAAGAGCAGCTTTAAAGGAAATGAAGAACCATCGATCGCCTGGTGATGATGGACTCGTTATCGAGGCAATAAAAGCAGGTGGAGAAATTTTATTAAAATCAGTAAGCGAACTGTTTACTAAATGCTTACATGCGGGTACAATTCCAAAAGACTGGAACAATGCAGTAATAGTCTTGTTACACAAAAAAGGCGATATTACTAAATTAGAAAATTATAGACCCATCAGCCTCTTGACACATATGTACAAACTCTTTATGAAAATCTTAACAAAGAGGCTAACACCTAAACTTGATTTCTATCAGCCCAAAGAACAGGCAGGCTTCAGGGCAGGATATGGCACAAATGACCATTTGCATACCATAAAGATCTTAATAGAAAAGTGCATCGAGTACAACATACCACTGGTTCTTGCATTTGTCGATTACGAGAAGGCTTTTGATTCTGTAGAGTTTGAAACAATACTGGAAGCCCTAAATCAAAGCCGAATAGATTACAGGTACACGACACTAATCAAAAACATCTATCAGAACGCTACATCAAGTATACGACTGCAAGAAGACACAGAAAAATTCAGCTTAGGACGAGGAGTTAGACAAGGAGACAATATTTCACCAAAATTGTTTACGGCAGCTCTAGAGTCAATATTTAAGGGTACTCAATGGCAAGATATGGGCATCAATATAGATGGAGAAAGATTAAATCACCTAAGGTTTGCAGATGATGTTGTATTAATCGCAGATAACTTACATGATACAGTTACTATGATGCATTCGCTTAAAAGTCTGTCTGAAAGAGCAGGATTAAAGATAAACTTTGAGAAAACTAAAATTATAACAAATCTCGTAATGAGTGGAAATATAACTATTGACAATAATACCATACAACAAACAGACACTTACAAATATCTGGGACACGAAATCAAAATAAGCAGAGACAATCAAACACATGAAATACAGAGGCGAATAGGTCTAACATGGGCAGCATTTGGCAAATTAAGCCATATTCTAAAAAGTTCAATTCCCATGTGTCTCAAGCGAAAGGTTTATAACCAATGTGTTTTACCTGTACAAACTTATGGAGCAGAGACTTTAACACTCACGCAAAAATCTGCGAATAAACTTAGAGTTACACAACGAGCCATGGAACGTGCAATGCTGAACGTGAGCCTTCGAGACCACATAACAAGCCAACAAATCAGACGAAGATCAGGAGTTCAAGACGTCATCGAAAGAACCACGACGCTTAAGTGGAACTGGGCAGGGCACTTAGCCAGAACACAAGATGGACGGTGGACAAGACGCATTATGGAATGGAGGCCCAGAAATTATAAAAGAAGCCGAGGACGACCACCGACTAGATGGACCGATGACATTAAACGTGTAGCGGGAAACTGGCTACAAGCGGCCCAGTGTAGAGAACACTGGAAAGAATTGAGGGAGGCCTATGTCCAGCAGTGGACGCGATTGGCTGATTGATGAAGGAATAAAGACAGTATAGACGCGATAGAACAAGCAGCAAATCTGAAATGGGCTGGACACAATGAACGTCTCCAAGACGGACGATGGAACAATGCCATCGGAAAGTGGCGTTGCATACAATGCAAAGAGATCAAGAGGCAGACCACAGATTAGGTGGAAAGATGACATCAGGAAACAAGGAGGTTCCACACAGCAGAGAACAGCTCAAGATAGGGAAAGATGGAGAGAACTGGGAGAGACCTATATCCAACAATGGAAGGATAGAGAATAGGTTAAAAAAATGCTGTTGACAACATGATTCGTTCCTATGGACCAAATGGCTTTTTACACCCATCTCACAAGTGATGCAGCCATGGCAGAGTACCAGAAAACCAAATCATTTATAACGGATGATGACGATCACGTAGACGAATGAAGGATGTGTCTGCCCGTGTGTTTAATGTTTTATTTTTTTGACACCAACGTATTTCTTTTTACAGATTTTTTCATATTTGTGGAGTAGGCAAACCATAGTCGTTTGATTGTTGTAACTGAATAAAAGAGTTTTTGTTGGGAAGTTTTTTTAAATGGTGGTAAAGAAGCATTATTTCACGTGTGCAAGAAAGATGCAGTACAACTTTCTTTTCTTTATAGGAATTTTAATATGCATGTTCATTTAGGAAGTCTTAGGACAGGGATCAGAGTTAATAAACATTAATAATAAATATATATAAATTTATTTTTCTAAATAAAAAGATGATGTTCACATACCTCTATTCTTTCTACTTCACAATATTCCTTACTTTAAACAACAGATTTTTATATATAAAATTGACAAAACCATATAATTTAAAATTGTATATGCCTCCAATTTAGCAACACATAGACTGCTTGGGATTGTTGCTAGGTTGAACACTTTCATGTATCCTTAAAGCAGTTGTTTGCATAGGTAGGAAATGCTTCTGGTTTTTCAGTTTATGGGCTAGTGTTAGGAAAATAGCTTCCACATTATCACATTGGGAATCTAGGCGTGCAGATGTTTCAAATAACTATAAATAAAAATAATTCATTAAAGGAATTATATTATATAGATATGTGTATAAGCAATATTTTTACTTTTCGACCATTTTTGTAGGGGGGGGGGGTCCGCGGATATTTACCAAATTTTAGTGTATCACTCTACCTTAATATAGCATGATATAACCTTTGAAAGGGTTAAAAATTGCTACCCCCCTATATTTATATTATAAGAGTTATATCTCTGATTCTAGTGGACCGATTTTAACTCACAAGGTCTAATTTTTTGGTATAATGTCAACTTTTTGACAAAACCGCAAAACAAAGTTTTATTTTATAGTTCAAGAAGAACAAAAAGAAAACTTAAAAAATTTTATGATTTTCAAAAATTGTTAAAATTTAACCAAACAGGGAAAAATTATAGAAAGAAGTAAATTAACGGATTTTAAATAACTTTCAAACGAACATTGGTAAATTACAATCCATTTAGTAGATTCGAAGATACAGCTGTTTAAAATTAGCCAGTTTTTGGAAAATCTCAGTTTTTATCATTTCTAAACTGATAGTATTTTGTCCTGACAATCTCAAATTACAAAAACAATTAGGTGAAGGTAATTCTATATGTATACAACAATATCTACTTATTGAATTGCTTGGCCCAGACCTTTAACTATTTTTTTGGCCTAGTAAAAATTGAGATTTTTGTTTCATAAGTAAGCCAACACATGTGGTTGTTAATGATTTCTCTCATCAGTTTGACTATTCTGCAAAATTAAATCTCAACGAATTATTAGAATAGATAACAAAACCTAAATTCAAGCATTTAAAGAAGCCTTTAGATGATCGAAAACCAAAGTTATGGCAGTTTTAATTTTAACTTTAACCTGAGATATTAAATATGTGAATGTGAATTTTGTTTAAATTGTAAGTTTTTATAAACTGACGGAAATTTAGATTTTTAGAAATATAGAGGGCCTTAAAATACTTATCGATAGTTTATTATATTAAGAAAAATTTAATCTATGCAATTTTTGGGCCAAATAGGTTTATATTAACAGTGCTAATGCACTAGAAATTCGTTTTTCCTTTTTTTTTAATTTTAAGTGCACTTTCTCTGTAGAACACCTGAAATAGTTTTTAACATTTTATGAAACTATTGGTATTATAAAGATATAAGCTAAAATTTGTAAAAATTTCGTGTACTCCCCACTGGAAAATTGGTCAAAACCTTCGAATATAAAAGATAGATGGATAAAACCTTACAGGCATGCTATACTGATCTGCAAATCTTTGAGCTACATGAGTAGTTACAGCTACCACACCATCACATTTATTACCAACTAAAATCTTGGGTACATCCTGTAAGCAATTATTATTGCACTCATCTATCCACTTCTTCAGGGAATCAAAGGAAGCAGAATTTGTTACATCATACACAAAGACAACTGCATGGGCATTTTTATAATAATGACGAACCATGGACATTCTGTATCTTTCTTGGCCTGCTGTATCCCATAATTGGAGCTAAAAACATATTTGTCAATTTCTAGATACACAAGTACTTACATACAAAATCTGATATCCACAACATTTAATTATACTTATATTTTTACTTTGATGTAAATATAATCTGAAATTACTGATCAGTTTTATATTAAAAATGTAAAATGGGACTTTCTATACATCTATATACTGTAATATGTATTTATTTATTAACAGATATACCATTAATACTTAAGTATATAGTTTTTTCACCATAAATTACATTGACTTTGAAGATAATATAAACAGGATTGGTTTGAATTGATATTAATGTGATTAACTTGTAAAGTACTGATGACTGACGAACATATTCACTGTCTTATTACACCTGTAATAGGTGTAGTGAAAGGATTCATAGATTGACACTACATTGAGCTACAACACTAGGTGGGAGTGGGTTGACTACAACTTTTTTAATTTACTTGGTCTTCTATCAATCTGTAGTTACGCAGAATGTTTATCTGATTCTGTTATCTCTCTATCATATTCTGAGATGCCCAAATTGAGTTTTTCCTATGGGAACCTTATACCAAAATAGTTTTATAAGTTTTTCTTTATACTCTGTGTACATGCACTGGCCAATTTAGTTGTTGGTATTTAATCTCCTGGATAAATTCATTATTTTTATAAAGTTCTTTTATTTCTGTATTTATTCTTATACTGACTTGTGGTAAGGTCCAAAAATTGTCCTCAGTATTTTTCTTTTAAGTCGTGTGAGCTTTTTTCATTTGTTTTTGTCATTGTCCATTTTTCACATCCATATGTTAGTACAGATCTGATGATCTTGACTTTTGATATTCTTGTTATATTTTATAAGCTTACCCAGTAGATTCTGCACTATCAGCCAAAATTCTAGGTGTTGACTGAGATGTTTTATCAAATTCTCTCTTCAGCCTGACAGTTTCTGTTGTTATCTCACCCTTATTGGAAGTGTCTTTTATAGATAAGATGGAGTTTTTGCTAACAGCAGTTTAGGACTTAGTAGAGCAATTAGTAGTTATGTTTTTATATTAGCTGATCTCACTGCATTTACTTATATGAGATTAAAAACTAGAGGTGATAAATCATCACACTGCTAAAGTCTAATGTTTATTTCAAAGTTGCTGAATAGTCAGTTGTTCACACATACTTTGGTACTCCCCCTTCATGTATACTTTGGTCATCTCAATGAGTTTCTGTGGTATTGAATGCTCTAACATTGCATTCCATACTTGATTTCTCTCTACAAGCCACATGCTTGGTGAAATAGATTACATATAGGTCTGTCAAATTCCCATCCTTTCTCTAGAAGTTGTCTTAGTAGAAATAGTTCAATGGGTTGCCCTGAAACTGGCTTGGTGTTCTGTCAATGGGCAAATGAGTGATAGAATATTTCTATGAACACATGACTTAAGTACTGGGTTAAAGTCAATTACTAACTGATCTATTTCACAACACATAGTTCTGACATTTTAACTGCTTATAAACATTATCAAATGGTTGGCAATAAGGCCACCTGGCGAAATAAACTTGGAAAGATTAATCATGGTGATGATATACCTTATGAGACCATTTATAAAAAGTCAAGAGATTAATATACTTACTGTGACATCTTCCCCATCTAAATTAATTGTTCTACTTCTAAAATCGACACCTACAGTAGCTTCACAAAGTTCTAAAAATTTTCCTTCGCAAAATCTATAAGTTAAAGTAGTCTTTCCAACACTCGAGTCTCCAATTACTATTATTTTAAAAATTTTACCCTGTTTTTGAATTTGAACATGGCTAACACTAGCAGCTTGTTGCAAACTATTTGATGGAACTTCTGCCATGTTTTGTTTTTGTTTCGGAACACTATTTAATTTTACTCATATTATATTTCTTATCTTGTGGTGAGCTGTAATTAAAGAATAGTCATTAATTATTCTAATCAATTTAAAACATAACGTTAATAGGTAATATTTGCATTTTATTATAATATTATAATTTCATATTACTATTAATTAGAATATCGAATTACACTTAACATACTGTTTTCGGTTTTGTTTTATCCTTAATACTAAATATTTTTGTTTCTATAGTCCCACAATCTGTCAGTCTAATCAAATGAATTATTCAAACGTCCCCAAAAACAAAAAAAAATGACAAGTAACGGGAGGTGTAATGTCATTTGTCAAAATTCAAAGAAATAGAACTTTGTACCTTAGACAAGGAAAGAGAGCTTTGTACAATGACGTTCGTTTACATCATTGGGTACAGTTTAGAAAATTTTCTGTTTTTGAAACGAAGCTTCTATGTATACGTAAAATTCTGAGACGAGCGTCACTAGAAGGCGTCACAAAATAGCGATTGTTAACATCGATTCAATCGACCAATTCGTATTATTGAATAATCTGTTTAAATTTTTAATGACACTTCTCGTTTTAAAATAATTTTATAAAAATATAGTTATTATTTTTAAATATCTTATTTAGTTTATATACCAATTAAGTACTAGTGTAATAAGCCGGAACCATGTTTACGGAGATGAAATTTATATCAATGAATTCTGCTTCACTTACTAATGATTGTGTAATGATTTTTATGCGGTGCAAGACGTTATTTTTTATGTAATTTCCATTTACAATATGCCCCATTTTTAAAAGCCACCGCCATTATTCGCCATTATTTACCATGAAACAACAAGAAATGTGTTGAACAAGACAAAGTTGAAACAAGTTGAAAAACAACAAGAAATTTCTTATGGTCAAAAATGGTAATTTTAACCAGTGTTGCCATAGTTACTCAAAATTATGTTTTCTAATGAAAAATAAATATTTACTTTCATATTGGACACTAAAATAACATTTTATTATTATCTACCTACTTTTAAATGAAAATTATAGCTTTTTTACAAGGGTCAGGTTAGATTTGGGTACGTTTCTTTACGTTTATTGTCATGTTTTCTTATGAAAAATAAAAAATTGATGCTAATAAATATTGGGGGATTCCCAGACAGACTTTTAACGGTTAGGTGTCAATCTCGGAATTATCTATGTTTTTTATACCGCGCAATACTAAAACGAAAATACCCGACCTTAATCGAATGGATGAAATTTTTTACATACATGCGTTGCTGTCTAGAGGATAAATGATAATTTCATACGAAAATATGATACATTTTGCATTAAAGTGTACTTTAGATTTGCAATGTTTTTACAAACATCTAAATTTGGCAATTGTGTTTAAAATATTGGTGGGAATGGGGAATAGGTGTGGCATTTTCAACTCATTTCTTGTCTTTTCGTGTTCGTTTTCGTTACTAAAGGAAGACAAAATGGAGTGTGGTGGTTGCGAATTAAGATTTACAGAAAGTTTCGGATTGTGCTTAAATCAGGGTAGTGCATTAGATTTTATGATTAAACACGGAATTATCAAAGACAAAATGGTACCTTGCAGAATTCTACTTCAAAAGAAGATTTCCCGATAAGGAGAGAATGCATGCATTCTTTACCGCTGCCGCATAGTTATATCCACCTAGTTATTAAGATTTTATCTATTACCATTACCTGTTATTTAAGGTAAGTAATTTTTATTAAATTTTAAAATTTAGGTATTTTAAATGTTAAAACTGGCAACAATGTCAAATGTACATAAAATTTAACTTCTTGCGCATGGCCGCCATATTGTTTTGAAATATTAAAAATTTTGATTATTTTAAACAATTTTCTTTATTAGGACATGTATATATACTTTTCTTTGCTTTTTATTTAATTTTTTTTGGTTCATAATACTTTTTTTGGTATTTTGTCTTATTTTTTTGATTATTTGAGCACTTTTAATAGTTTAAAGCAAAGAAAACATTAAAATTTGAGGTTTTTCTCACTTTTTCGGCTAAGTCCACAAAAAATTGGGCATTTTTAAGGCGTTCCGGCTTAGTAAATAATTAATTAGTTATTGGTTTATCTTCTACACTCTTTTACTTTTACCAATCACAAATAAGCTTATTAATATACATTTCCCTCAAAATTTACCTTGCAGCCTTAGCTTAATAGGAAGAATAGTTTTCAATACGTCTTACTATAGACGTTACGTTCTGTTTTAAACAGGAAGTAATGAGTTAGAAAAGGTCGGATATATCTAGAACCAGTGACGATTGTCTAGAATATTCCAGAAGCAGTTCTATTTTATGTTGTTTTGTTGGTTACCTGATGATGTTCGTTGTCGAACGACAAAGACAGATATTTCCTTCTACATAAAGTCATTTCTAGAAAAACGTGAACTGAAGTGTGCCGGTGTGATTTCGCTGTTAAATAAAGGAAAAGTTCAAAATCGTGATCGAAAAAACCTTTTAATATATCAATACAATTTTTTAAAATGGCTGCAATGTCTGTGATAGGTATCGATTTGGGAAATGAATCCTGTTATGTAGCGGTTGCAAAGGCTGGTGGAATCGAAACCATTGCAAATGACTACAGTTTAAGGGCTACTCCGTAAGTTCAGTTACACATTTCTTGTTAATCTGCATTCAATAAAATTTATCATTTAAATCATTAATTTGGTTTGACATTTCAAAACAACCTTGATTTGTAGAGAGTGATCTTGCTTTTCAGTATTACTACCAATTTTGGAAATATTACTCATATTTGTGGGCGAATTGCGGCCTATTATTTTTTTTATTTGTAGATCATGCGTTGCTTTTTCTGGAAAGAACCGCATATTGGGAGTTGCGGCCAAAAACCAGCAAGTCACCAATATGAAAAACACTGTATATGGGCTAAAAAGGCTGTTAGGTAGAAAATTTAGGGATCCTCATGTCAAAAAAGAAATTCAATTTTTACCATATACAGTTGTAGAAGAAAAAAATGGGGGTATAGGAATTAAGGTAAGAAGTCATATTTAATTTTATGTTGCCTTTATCTTTTCTGATAATGTAAAGAAAATTTTACAACCTTACTAACTTTTAGGCTGAAACATTTTATATTATTTGGTCAATAACATTAAGATGTAACAATATTTCTAAAGACATATTTCACTGCAGACATGTCATGTTTTGTTTAAATATTGATTTTGTTTCTTTCAATGATTTTTTAGTTATTCTTAAATATAAATTTATTGTGTTTGTCATTTGTTTGTTGAGTATTACTAATAATTTAATGTATTACACAAAAAGAGATATCCTATGTTATTATTTATCTTGGAAATAAAGAAACATGTAAAATTTTATTGTGGCCTTGACCTGATAATAAGGCCTATTTCCACTTTTAATTCTTGTTGTAAGTGTTAATATAATTTATTGACTTGAGTTCTATTAAAGAAATAAAATTGATCAATTAATAATTAAAACTAATTATTTATAATTTGGTTCATGTTCAATACAGAAAGAAAACATAATAGACAAAAACTATTTACTACAAAACATTTACTACAAAATTTATTGGAAGGACAAATATACAAGAGTATTGGAAGGACAAATAATTGCTGTAGTTTGATCACATTAGATGTAAAAATAAGTACTATGTGGGACGAATGATAGAACTTGAAAGTTAAGGGAGAGAGGTAGGGGAAAACAGGGAGAAGATAGAAAGACTATGGCAGAGGACTTAAAGAAAGAAATGAATAAGATACAATGATTAGAAATGACTGGCGAAGAAGAATAAAAAACAGCAATCGCTGAAAAGAGAAAAGCTGAGGAAGCAGAAGAATTGAAAGTACAAACAATTGCTAGCTATAATTAAAGCATATTCAATCATCAAACTTTCAGATGAAACATTTACAATTAATGTCAACCCATTATATTATTATTATGGTAGAAATATACACAAATTGAGAAGAGAGTGTTATTTATTAAGAAATTTGTTAGTTCTTATTTAAATCAAAGACAGAAAGGGTTTGATGACAATATATTTTCATAGACACCTTCAAAATCACAGATGGCATTCCTTATGTAATTTGGTCATCTGATAACAACATTTATAATACATTTCAATTCAATAACAAGGTGTCTGTTTACATTGTAGAATTAGTAGTAATATTGGAAACTCTGGAGTATATGTTAACTGGCAAAATGACTTTGAGTATTTCTCAGATCTTCTTTGAGTACTGTGCCCAAGTGTTAGACTTTTGTAGCTTCCATGACGATTTGCTGATATCGTTCTTGATCTTGCATGGCATGTAATAATTCATTTGCTGATAAGCCAGTCCATTGACTAAATTTTGAAAACCAATTCTTCCTACCCATTCCTCTTTTTCTGTTGCTCTTTCTGTTGAGTATCAACTGCATTATCTTGTATCTGCTTCTTCTCATTATATGCCCCAGATATTCGAGTTTTCTCTTTTTTATCAACTTTGTTCATCATATTAACCTTCATAATCCAGGTTTCACATCGATACAGTAATACAGGATACACTTAACATTTTAAGAACTTAATTCTCAGCTGTAAGCTCAGCTGAGAATTGCTCAGAATAGATCTAAGTCTCATAAATGCTCCTCTTGCGATATCGATATGAGTTTTAATTTCTTCATCCAGATTTAGTGTCTTGTTTATCCAACATCCTAGGTATTTAAAATGGTTACCTTTTGTTATCGGTTCATTATTGACAATTAGTTGTATAGTGCTGAGGTCTTGTTTATTAGCCACAAGTAACTTTGTCTTTGTTGTATTTATGCTTAGCCCGTTATTAGAGCATTTTCTAGTGACTCTATCTATAAGGAATTGAAGATATTCAATACTTTCAGCCATGATCACAGTGTCATCTGCATATCCGATGTTGTTAATAGTTTCTCCCCCGATTTGAACTCCACATTGCCTTTCCAAGGCTTTGTTAAAAATCATTTCTGAGTAAATGTTAAACAAAGTTGGGGACAACACACAACTCTGTCTAACACCTCTTTGAATACAAATTTTATCTGTTTCTTTGCCATCTACCAGAATAGAAGCTTCTTGATTCCAATATAGATGTTGTAAAAGTCTCAGATCTTTATTGTCTATTCCAATCATTTCTAGATATTCAAACAGCCTACCATGTTGAACCCTATCAAATGCCTTCTTAAAATCTATAAAACACGTTAATTGGTTTCTGTACTTCCCATGATCATTGAAGTAGTGTTAGCATTGAGAAAAAAGATTCCCTTTCCCCCCCCCCCCCCAATCCTTCTCTGAAATTGAATTGTTTATTTCCCATTGTGTCTTCACATATCTACTTGATTCTATTAAGAATTGTCTTATCCTAAGAAGTAGCTTGAGAGGGACTCATGAGACTTATTATTAGTCTAAAGTCTTTACATGATGATGTATTAGGTTTTTTTGGAAGTGGAATAAATGTAGACTCCATGTGGTTATAAATGTTTGTTAGTTCTGAGACATTGTCGTCGTCTAGAAGTTTGTGCCAGTCTGATGGCTCAAAATGGTCAAGGCCTGGAGATTTCCCATTTCTAAGGTTTTTATGTATATTAAACTCATAATGTTTTCTTTGCGGTTCTTCTATCTCACGACATCTCTGTTCCATCCAGGCCTCTTTTGCTTGCTTAACCTCATATGTTATTTGTCGATATATTTCTCTCAGATAGTAAAAGCTAAATAAAATAAAGTGGAATAGTAGGTGCTACTGCAGACTAGCGCTGGGCTTCATACTATGTTTTCTGTATTTTTAAGATTTAAATAATGAATTTCAAATTAAATAAAGTAATTTAATTATTTTTTTTTGCTGAAATTGTATCAGTAATTAAATTAGAACAACATATGTACAGATAAAGTTAGCTAAGAACATAAATTGTAAAAATTTTAACTTTAGTCAAAACAGGAGATATAAGATATCAAATAGACTACCTTTTTTAACATAGAGCTACTTTGATCTGACACAGTATTACAATATTCATTTCATACAAAAGAGTAAAATAGTGATTTATTAAGTTTTTATTTTTTTTTACTGTAGTCAAAGAATAAAATTATAATTTACAAATTAATAATAACAGTTACAAATATTAATTTGCTTATCCATTAACATCTAAAATTCATTACATTTTGTTCATTTATACATTTTGTATGCAGTCAGTAGGATATAATATTTATACACCCCCTTCCAATTTTCCAAGTTTTTGTCTTTTATCTAAACTTTGCTATCTAACATTGCTTTTATCAAACAGCACTGTTTACTAAATGTTATGTTGTAACTATTCAGGGTCATATTCTATAACAACCATTTGTGATGTAATAATTTAACCATAGATTAAATGGTTTGATAAAAAAACTTCTTCAGGCTTATTTCCTTTATATTCCAAGATAGTATTTATTGGAAATATTTCAAAGAATGCCAAATGTTTTCTTTTTTACAATTATAAATATATGTAGCATTAAACCAAAATTGATTGTAATGATAAATAAAATTTATAAATTAAGGAATTATTATGTTACCCTGTAAATGTTTATCAATTATTAGTGTTTTGTGGCAACCGCTTTGACAGATGACTTACTTGGCCTCGATATTGTAGGCAAATAGCCATATAAGTGAAATTCCGAGGGTGATGTTATACTTTTGGATTGATATTAAATTCTGTGCTTATGTGGTTGATTACAGATAATGTGTGCCTGACCTTCTATTAACTCATTAATGCTGGTAAATTCTTATTGCTGACTTCTTCTTTCAGTATTGGTAACCAAAGATGGCTAAATTCTGTTGATGAGTTTGCTACACATTTTTCTTCATTTATTAAGAGGAGGCTGCTTGTTTGATTCTCCTCTTTTTGCTGCCTGGTTGTTTCATAAATATTGATGCACCAATTTTTTAATTTTCCTCTGTACTGTGTGCTTATTGCCCCAGGCAGTTTTCATATCTGGGATCTGTCAAAGTCTCTTTTTAAGGTATGACTCATGCTCATTTTTTCTGACACTTCATGATCTTGAGGTTTCTCCCATATAAAAATTGTTGTTCTTTGATCATTCCTGTGTGTTGTTGGGTTTGGTTTTGGAAAGAAAAAATCTCAGTATGTTGGTTTTTTGATAAATACAAATACCTAGGAACCAGGATTTCAGACAATAATGATCAAACAACTGAAATAAGAGCTAGGATAGAAATAGCAAGAAATGCATTTGTAAAAATAAAAATAAAAATAATAAAAAAGCCTTTTATGTATGGTATTGTTGTAATCTTCAAATCCCTTGTTCTGAGCATTTCTGGATCATTTTTGGTGTTTTGTTGTTTCCTTTCTTTTAATCTTGTGAAATCCTTGTTATCTTTTTTGTTTAGATCTTTTTTCTTCCTGAAATGAATTTCTGTTGGAGCAGGTATTTTGGCCTCTATTATATAGTGATTTGATGATCACCTTTATTTATCTATTGTAATGTGAATGTAATTGATTCTTCTTTACAGTTGGTGTCCATCAAATATTTATTCAGTGCTTCTGGTCCATGAGGCCAAATGGAGAACATACATATCATCTACATATCTCCACAAACTATGCCACAAGAAAGGTTTTTAGTCATACAGTGGATTTGATGAATCCCGATTTCATAATTATGTTGTGGTTTTAGTGATAATTTAAATATATGTTGGTGAGGGTTGGTTTTCTGTAGACTACTGGACATTTAATAAGTAGTTTTAGAAACAATATGTGGAAACAAATATTTGGATCAATAATGAGAATTTCTATTTTGGTAGTAATTACTGTTGACAAACCTATCTAACAGGACTATCCAGAAAAAAAATCAAAAGTAAAAATAACTGTAGTAAAAGCTAAAAAATTTAGTGTCACTGTAAGTGTAAAAGCTGTAAAATAGTAAAAGCAAGAAATCTTTGTTTCAAAGAAATCTGATAAAGGGTTACATTATGTGAAAACTAAGTTGTACAGAAAATACAAACAGCTGTAATTATTATTGTCTAAAAAATATAAGTTGCTCCATTTAATTTATATAAACATAATCTATAAACAAAGAGATAGTTACAACAGTTTTTGTTGTGAGGGTCGATATGTAAAAAAACTATATGTTTGCCTATGTTTGCTCATGGATTTACATTTTCAGAAGACTAGTAAATATTTGTTAATACATTAAGAAATTGTAATTTTAGGTAAATTATTTAAATGAAGAACATAAATTTTCTCCAGAACAGTGTTTGGCCATGTTGTTAACAAAATTAAAAGATATTGCTATGACAGCTCTACAAACTCCCATAAATGATTGTGTTATATCAGTTCCTTCTTACTTTACGAACAATGAGAGGAAGGCACTATTAGATTCTGCAGCTATAGCAGGTAAGCATAATTTCAATGTTACATATACAATTATCAGATTTTTTTTCTTAAGTTTATATATTCATTTGATATTTTTAATTTTATTTGTATACCACTTATTTAGCCTAGTTATGTTTCATAATTGGTAGAACATTTAAAGTATTTATCGAGTATGTAAATCAATAATTATTAGCCTTCTTCCAGTCATGAGCATGATGCATAAAGTATTAATTTATCAAAAGAATGTGACAAGCCTATTAACTAGAAGATATATTGCCTAATTATTTCCTGGGTTTAGTTTTTTTTTTAATTCATTAAGCATTAATTAAATATATTGTAAATAGAAAAAAGCATTGATGGCATACAATTACATTTCATTATAATTATTAATTGTATTAACAAAATCCGAATAAAAGAATACTAATTGACGAAAGAGGATATGAACACAATGTGACACAAAATTCAAAAAATAATTCAGAAGAAATTGTAAAAACATGAAACATTGTGATTATTTTACTAATAATAATTTACTGATAAGCAATGTTGTATAAAATTAAACATGATTCGAGTAGAAAAATTCATATAAATTTTGGTTTTAGGTCTTAATACTTTAAGGTTATTTAATGAAACAACAGCTACAGCCTTGTCATATGGTATTTACAAACAGGATTTACCTTCTCCTGAAGAAAAACCTCGTAACATTATCTTTGTTGATTGTGGCCATTCATCTTTACAAGTTTCTGCAGTTGCATTTAATAAAGGCAAATTGAAGATGCTTACCACTGCTTCAGATCCCAATTTAGGTGGTAGGGACTTTGATCTCATCATTGCTGAGCATTTTTGCAAACAATTCCAAACCAAATACAACATTGATGCAAAATCTAATCCAAGGTAAGATATATTTTCATTAATCATTTTAAATAATAATGTAAAATGAAAATAATAAATATTTTAATCAGAATTCTGTTCCCAATTAAGTAAGTATCAAATTAAAGAGTGTTGTATTTAAACAATCATATTAATCATATCATCATAATCATATAAAATATTAAAAACTAAAGGTATTTCCATGAAGTTTATGGAATAATTCATATTATTTATTTCAAGAATACATACTAATTAAAACCATACAATTTTATACACTCAGCTTCATAAAAACATAACATAACATAACATAACAATATCTTTATTTTTAGAAAACAATATACATTCAGTGAACATAAAATTATTTAAAAAAAACAGTGTCACAAACGAAAATATTATTTACTTATTCCTAACCGTTACATATGCAAATAGTCCTCCACAGAATATGGCTCAAGAGCTACCAGTAATTTAAATATTTGATGTTTATACACACTTAATCTTTCCTCCCTTTTAATAGGTTCAGGCAGTTTATTAAACAATTTGATGCAGCAATAAAGAGCGTTTTTTTCTGTTATACTTAACCTGTGTATTGGAATTTTATAATTATATAACCTGGTATTTACTATACTATTGGGCTCAAAGTTCCTAAATAGTATTTTATTTTTATATAGAAACAGTAAGCATTCTTGAATAAATACAGCATAAACTGTTAAAATATTATTACTCCTAAAATGCCCTCTACATGATTCCCTACTTTTTAAGTCAAACATAACTCTGATTATTTTTTTCTGAACCAGAAATACATTATTTATGTCCCTACTGTGTCCAAAATTTATTAGACCATATCTAAATTTTGCTTCAAAATTAGCATGATACACTGTTTTTAATGAGTTACTATTCATGTATTTTTTTAGAACTCTAAAGCTGTAAATCACTTTACTCAAAGACATACATAACTGGTCAACATGTTTATCCCAACATAAAAAACTATCAATATATAATCCTAAAAATTTGGTACTGCTGCTAATATTTAAAGTGTCATTATTTACAATAATACTGTTTGGCATATCTGAATGTGCATAATTTGTCTTAAACAAAAGAAGATCTGTTTTATTTTGATTTAAAACCAACCTATTCATAGAAAACCAGTCTTTAGCTTTCTGGAACTCTAAACTAGCATTAACGCTTAGAACAGACATGTCTTTACCACTGACTAAAATGTTAGTATCATCTGCATAATTTGTTATGCTGGAAGTAGTATTAGCCACTAGACCATGAAGATCATTGATATAGATCACAAACAGTAAAGGACCAATCACACTTCCTTGTGGTACTCCAATATTGATAGTGCTTTCAGATGAGATGCCGATTTCAGTGTTTTTATGTATTTTTACTAAATGTCTCCTATTTGCCAAGTAGGACTTAAACCAGTTCAATGCTGGTCCACGTATACCATATTTCTCCAATTTATCAAATAATATGTCATGCACTAAACAGTCATATGCCTTTGATAGGTCCAAAAAGAGACCCAAAGCCATATGACCAATCTCAGTACATTTCAAAATATCCCAGACAAATTGAAAAATCGCAGTCTGAGTTGATTTTCCCTGTTGATAACCATGCTGATTTGCACTAATAATATGACATTTTGTTAAAAATTCTGTTATCCGCCTATACATAGTCATTTCTAAGATTTTTGAAAAGGAACATAGAAGGCTAATTGGTCTATAGTTATTAATTAATTTAGGATCACCCTTTTTGTAAACAGGTGTTACTATGGCAGTTTTCAGGCATTCAGGAAATACACCAGATTTTAGTGAATTATTAATGATTGTAGTGAGAGGATTCACTATCTCCTTTATACAAAGTTTAAGGATTTTAGTGGGTATTTCATCAATTCCACAACTCATTTTGTTTTTTAAATTTTTAGTTATATCCATAATTTCAGTTTCTGTCACAGGTGCGACAAACACTGAATTTATGTTACTTGCTATGTTGTCTTTATATTCAGTGTATTGTAATTGAGATAAAGTGTTATTTAAAGAAGTATTTAAGTGTATCATGTATTTATCAGCAATCTCTTGAGGACTACCCTCTACTTTTATTGAATTTACACTTTTTAATCGACCATTAATTTCACTAACAATTTGCCACATGCATTTATTTTTATTGGCAGCTTCAGATATCCTGTTTTCATATAGCTTTGATCGTTTTGTTATTAGTTTCTTATTATATTCTTTTTTTACCTGTCTATAGGAATCATAGAATTTATGGTTAACTCTGCTCATTGTAAACAAGATGTCTAAACGAGTCTTACATTCTATTATCTCTGGATCATCTCTTTTATTAAGGCCTTTTTTACGTTGCCTAGAATCTAACTTTTTAAAAGGAAAGCACTGATTGAATATATACAGAAACTGATTTAAGAAAGTATTCCATTGATCATTTACACATTTGTAACTTAAATTAATCCAGTCATGATTATGTAATTTACTTATAAAGGTTTCAATATTATGTGTACTAAAATGTCTTTTCATTTCAAGAGTATTCATTTCTGCTTCCTCTACCTGAAAAGTTGACAAATATTATATGAGTTAATTAACATACAAAATTTTACTTTATCTAATGTGTTATTCTTAAGATCGATATTGAAATCTCCCCCTATAATTATAATTGTGTTTTCTATCATAATTCTTCCCAGTATAATATCAAATTTGTTTAAAAAAACTGCCAGATCGCTACCTGATGGTCTGTAAACTGATGCTATAATGAGTTTGTTATTACCTATATTAGCTTCGCATACAGCACACTCTATTACCCTATCTACTGATAACTCTTGTATATCCTTTCTTTCCTGGCCAATGATGTCTTTACTAAGATATATAGCTGTTCCTCCATGTTCATTTACATTATTTCTACAATGACTAGCTGTCAGCACAAAATTGTTAATTCCATATTCACTTAATTCTTCTTTAGTTTTCCAATGTTCTGTTGTGCACAATATTTTACAGTCACTGTTGTTTGTTAGGAACGTTGGAAAGGCATGATGACTTTAATCTACATAGGAAGGTAAAAGAACTGACCGGCATCAGAAAAACAAACCACAGTAGTGTTCTATTAGATGAAAAAGGTAAAATTATCCTTGATAACAACAAGAAAATAGAAAGATGGAAACAATACATACAGGAATTATTTAAAGATGAGAGACAACCAGAAAACATAGAACTATACAACAGTAGAGAAACGGGGCCCAGTATAACAAAAGAAGAAGTCATGCATGCAGTAAAATTGGCAAAAGATAATAAAGCTACAGGTCCTGATGAGATACCAGCGGAAATTATAAAATTAATCGCAGAAGATCAAATAGATATACTAAAAGACTTGTACAACACCATATATGATACAGGCGTCATTCCAAAAGAATGGCTTAAGTCGACGTTCGTGACTCTACCGAAAAAAGCTAACGCTAGAGAATGCTGTGACCATCGAACCATCAGCTTAATGAGCCACACTCTAAAGATATTCTTGAAAATTATACATCAAAGAATTTTCAGAAAACTGGAGCAAGATATTAGTAACACGCAGTTTGGCTTCAGAAACGCAATGGGTACAAGAGAGGCCTTGTTTGCCCTGAATGTATTGGCCCAAAGATGTATGGATGTTAACCAACCTCTTTATGTCTGTTTCCTTGATTACAATAAGGCATTTGACAAAGTCAGACATAATCGCCTCCTACAGCTACTTCAAGATAAAAATCTGGATATGAAAGATATTAGAATAATATCAAACCTTTACTTTAATCAAGTTGCATCTGTAAAGGTTGGCAACGAACTATCAGAAGAAATAGAAATACAACGAGGGGTAAGGCAGGGATGCATATTGTCTCCGCTGCTTTTTAACCTCTATTCAGAAGAGGTAGTTCAGAAGGCACTAAAGGAAACATCAAGTGGAATTAAAGTCAACGGAGAACTTATAAATAACATCAGATACGCCGATGATACTTTAGTAATCGCAGAGTCAGTTGAAGAATTGCAGGTTCTGATAAATAAGATTGTAGACAGTAGCGAAGAGGCTGGACTTACTTTAAATATCAAAAAGACGAAATTCATGACCATCGCAAAGACACAACAACAGGACACGTTATGGATTAGGGACGAACTCGTTCAAAAGGTGAACAGATATACATACTTGGGAACAATCATAACCGAAAACAACGATTACACACAGGAAATCAAATCACGTATAGGAAAAGCCCGATCAACATTCAATACTATGAGAAAAGTACTTTGCAGCAATGATCTGAGTCTGCAACTTAAAGTACGAATGCTTAGATGTTATGTATTTTCTGTGTTATTATATGGAATGGAGGCTTGGACGCTTAAAAAAGATATAAGTAACAGAATAGAAGCGTTTGAGATGTGGGCTTATAGAAGAATTTTAAAAATAAGTTGGATCGATAAGGTTACGAACAACGACGTTTTAAAAAGAATGAACAAGGAAAAGGAGATATTAAATACAATTAAAATAAGAAAATTGCAGTATCTGGGTCATGTCATGAGAGGTGAGAGATATGAGTTGCTGCAGATCATTATACAGGGAAAGATACTGGGCAGAAGAAGCATAGGCCGACGACGTGTATCCTGGCTAAACAATTTGAGGCAGTGGTACAATTGTAACTCTGTTGAGCTGTTTAGAGCAGCAGTGTCAAAGGTGAAGATAGCCGTGATGATAGCCAACCTTCTTAAAGGAGACGGCACTTAAAGAAGAAGAAGTTGTTTGTTAGAAGTTCTTCTATTTCATCAATACAATTTCCTATGGATTGGAGGTTCTGGTGGATGATACTTATATTCTTTGCTCGTGTGACTGTGTTTTGTATTTCAATTTCCTTGTGTTGATGTGTCTTGTGCTCTCTATTTTCTCCTATGAAAAATTTCCACCTCTGTTATCTAGAAAATCTTATGACGATGCATCTGGAACCTTTTTATGCCAACACCATTAGGCCAAAACTCTGGTTTATACATGTCATCCTTATATTCAAAGGGAGCCGATACAACAAATCTCTTCAACATATTTTCTTGACTTGGCAATTCCTTTACCATAATAGACTCTTGTTGCATTTTCCTCTTTTCTATTAGAAATTTACATATCTCCTCTTGTTTTGTTGTTCTCTTCACTCTATACAAGTATAGCCACACTTTTTTCTTTTCCCCTGCAAAACCACTTGTGCTATCGTCATCGCTTACTGCCGTTCCTATATTTTTTTTAGTTATGTACCGATGTCTCCTGTGTATAACTTTTTGGAACCCATCTGAGTCACTATCGCTGTTTTCCTCAGTTATTTTATGTTTTTTTATTTGCTCATTAACCTCAGTTGTTTGTTTATTTTTGAGGTTGACATTAATGTTGTCACTTGTCTTCTGTTCAGAGGAACTACTTAAACTTTTTGACGTTTGAGCTACTACTTCTGTGAATGATCTATTTTGTGTACGAGGTGGTACTGACCTTGAGAATTTTTTATCAACAGAGTGATCCATTATCTGATCTTGTTTATTTACACTTTCGTATTCAGTTTTTTTTGCGGTTTTTTGTTCTAGATAACTTACTTTTTGGCGCAATAAATTATTGTTTTCTTTTAATACAACATTTTTGTCTTCCATTTCCATAATTAGTCTTTTTAAGAGGTCATTTTCTAATCTCAGTTTGGATAATTCTTCTGTAGTTGACATCTCGTTTGTTTCGGTATCACCGCCTTTTTTGTCACAGCATATTATGATATTTCTCTCACATGTTTCAAATCCACATCTTTTTGCACAGCTAGAGTGAAAAACACTATAACAATATTTACACACAACTATTTTACACTCTTTTTTAGTGCAGCATTTAAAATTAATTTCCAAGTTTTCACCATCAATTGGCCGTACGTCTTCGACAGCGGCCATCTTAATCTTAAACTGCTGCATTATGTTATTAACCTTTTTATTTATGGCCCAATTTTGATATTTTTGGGATAACTAGAAGGAAAATCATTCCATATTAATTTACATGATTCATATTTCTGAAACAAGACTGATTCTACAGGTCAAATGTAGGCATATACAAGGCAAAACAAAATTTTGTTCCTATCATTGCAGTTTTATGAAAATGCTGATGTATATGTATGTAAAAATATGATGTAAATTTTGTTCCTATCATTGCAGTTTTATGAAAATGCAAAACTTTATTTAATAAATTATAACTTTGAATTGAATTGAGATATCAAACTGAATAAAAATCAATGTTTAGAGAATGAACCAAGCTTTCATAAAGGATAGTTTTTTACATCTGGCCTTTTCTGGAAATTTGAATGAGATTAATTAATTTGGGAAGATTTTCGTTTTACATTCCATAAATGAAGAAGTTATTTAAAAATTTGTTAACATTTCACAGCAGCCATTTTTTATTCAGCTTAGGATGTTTAATTAATTTGGGAAGTGCTCTAAAGAAACAGTATTTCTGTTTAATACATCTTCTTGGAAATTTTTACAATATTTGTTGTAAATCAATCATATTCATTATTATTTATACATTTCAGAGCTTTTCTAAGATTGCTAACGGAGGTAGAAAAGTTGAAGAAGCAGATGTCTGCAAATTCTACAACCTTACCACTTAACATAGAATGTTTCATGAACGATAAAGATGTGTCCAGTGACATGAAGAGAGTAGATATGGAAACTTTATGTGCTCATCTGTTTGAAAGAGTTGAAATAAGCTTAAAGCAATGTCTCAAACAATCAGGTAAACATTTATCTCCAGTTTTGTCAAAGTTGTTTATGTATAAACCCAGCGACATGTTTTATTTCAAGTTTATTGATTCTGAAACTATTTTGTTGAATAAACCCCAATTCTAATCGAAAAGTCGTTATATTTGCAATTTATATTTTTAAATTTAATTTTAGTTTTTATCAAAATGTAGATTGAAACTTGTTTTGTTGTAGGATTGTCATTGGATGATGTTCACTCTGTAGAAATAGTGGGCGGATCTAGCAGAGTACCTGCTATTAAACAATTGATAGAGAAAGTATTCCACAAAGTACCAAGTACTACTTTAAATCAAGATGAAGCTGTGAGCCGTGGTTGTGCTCTACAATGTGCTATGCTATCTCCTGCTATAAGAGTTCGGGATTTCAGCGTAACAGATGTTCAGGTAAATGTAAAACAGAAACTTTCATAATAACAAATGGAGAACTACATATGAGCTAAACACTAACAACTGATAACTGTTTAGCATAAAGTCTTTTTTTAGTGCAGAAAGCCTTATGTTTTGAATTGCAGTAACACATGTTTCAGTAAATAAATACATATAGTACTAGTTTTAGTTTTGATTAGTTATTTTCTCTGTTTTGTTCGAAAAATGGTGAGTAAATGTTTTTAACATGACCAAGTAAACATCAAAGATAACTTAATTACCTTTAACATTACCTGTCATTAGGTTTCTAGTCAAGTACAGCGTTTGACTAATTTGACGTTTGACGCCATCCACCTTATCTGCCTAAACATGTACTGTGTGACTTCTAAAGATGAAATCCACATTAAAATGAAACGGATTTGAGCCTATTGAAGCTGTATAACAAAAAACTGCAAGCCTAAGGCAGAAGCTGCCTTAGGCTTGCAGTTTTTAGAAGAATTTATTTGTTTCAGAGCACTGTTTTGAACACAAAGTACTGTCTTTCCTAAGTACTCTGCCACACAGTTCTTTCATCTTCTTCTCAGTTTTCCTCTACCTCTCTGTCCCACAACTTCTAATAGCTCTATTTGTGAATATATTTATTTTCATAGACTCCGTTCATTATTAATTACGTTAATTTTGATTCTTTATTTTGCCTTTTCTCCAATTATTTTATCTCTATTTCTTCAGCCAGTGAAGTCCCCAAGTAATAGTTTTGCTTGTTTTTTCCTATTTCTTCAATATCTTTTCAAATTTCTTTAAAGGAGTCTGCTTTCATCTAATCGTTTAATAGTGTTTAACTATTATAAATGCTAGCCTTGTTCCCATTACCAACGAATAAAGACGCATACAGGACATTTCTATAAGAGGAGTGGGGAAGTGGGAAGGAAGTACGAACGAGTTCGCAATAATAGCTTTATTAAATTCTTAAATTTTTAATTTTAAAACTTAAAAACATATGAAAATTTCAATATTAAAAGTTTATTTATTTATTTTTTTATTACATGTAAATAAAATTTTATAACTTTGAATTCAAAATATATATGTCACGTTGAATTCAAAATAGGTCACGTATCCACTCACTGGATCTTTCGGAGAAATTAAATTTTCGTCTGGCTTCGGTCCTTTGATTTGCAAGAGTTTCGTTCCACCATTCCTGTTGAAATTCCTCAATATCTCTGGACAGTTATCTTCAAATGCTGACATGACAATGTCTTGAAATTGTTCATGTTTAGGCCCAATGTATGCCTTGTCATCCCTTTAATCCAACTTAAACAATATTCCAAGTCTGCTTCATGTGCTTCCCAGTTTGTTCTACGAGCATTACAATAAGTTTCCTTGATAGACATTGCCTGTTATTTCAAGACAGATGTGCCGATGGTCTCAAAAAGACACCTCATCTAAGAAATGACATTTTTTAACAGTTCTATCCATATGAATTGTGGCCATTGTTAAGTCAATTGCCTCCTTTAATTGTGAAGTTACTAAAGTTGGTACATATAATATGTCTATTTCCTACATATAATATGTCTAAATCATATTCCATAACAAACTAGTAATGACTCACCAATTTCATTGGTCCATTGATAGTTTGTATTGCCCCAGGTCAGATGGTCACAGCCAATAATTAAATTGCAGTCCATGTTTTCTGCAATCTCTCAGTAACTGTCCAACCAAACCAACTTTCTTGATGGTAATTTGGGATCATTGTATGGAAGGTATGCTGATCCTAGTTACCTCTCTGAAACAGAAATTCATCAACAAATTGTTTTAATATGTCATTTAACTATTTTGCAAGTTCTTAGGACTTTTGTTTTGCCCTTGTAAAACCAGAGCTCTTGTATCAAGGCTACATTGAACCTTCTCATGGCAACAGTCAGCTCTGCTGAAGCTGCCTTACTATACTGGAAATTCGCTTGTATGATTCTGATTGGAGCCATCAAGGCCTCTGATTGTCTCAAAGGATACCTTTCCAAGTTCATAATACGCTTTAATATGAGCAGCCCTCAATGCTTTATACGAGACCTCGTGAATCGTAAAGACTAGGGTTTTTTCCTAACTTTAACTTACTTAATCAATTTTCGATTAACTCTTCTTGATTAATTTTGCCTCTTTAGACGGGTCCTGATGGTTTCTTAATCAGCCCCTTTCTTGGGAACGCGGGTGAGGATCATGGGGTGCTTGGTCATATTGAGATTGACTATATTTAAGTTTGCTCCCTCCAATAGGCCCTCCATAGTTTTCACCACTTCAGTAGTCTTTTTTTTTGTATACTCGTTTGCACAGTTCACCCACAGGTTTTCTCTGGTCCATGTCCCAGCAGCCATTTTTGTCTCTTTCCTCATCTTCCTTTGTTGAGCTCCAGAGAGGCGTTTTTTGAGACTTTGAGACTGAAATTTTAAAATCCGAAATTATACTTTATAATTTTGAATTTTAAAATTGTAAAAAAGAATTCTTTGTTGTGTTAAAAAGCAATTCTGACATAGTAGCGAGATCTAGAATTATTTTTTGATCCGAAACACCTTAGAATTTTTGTTTTTGGGGCTTTTTCTTTCAGTGATTGGTTTTTAATTAATTTTATTTACATTTTATAAGACAATTCTAATTATATTATTTGTAGATTTGTACACATTTAAATTAAAAATTTGAATTACAATATTTTTCTAAAAAGATTCAGTTATTAAAAGTTAAAATAACATTTTATTTTCTCCAAAAAAACATGGCGCATGAGTAGGATTTGATGTCTAAATTTATAAAACAAAAAATTCATTCAGATGTTAAACATTTTAATGTTGTATAAAATGTGTAAATGTGTGCATGTGTATAAAATGTGTAAATGTGTGCATGTGTATAAAATGTTAAACATTTTATACACAAAAAATGTCAGTAAAGTGTGCTTCTATAGGTGTCCATATTCGTTGCCATTACATTTATGTATCTTCATTATTCTTGTATTTATGTCAATATTTATTTTTTCTCAATATTGCTGATCTTTACTGGGCTCGTTTTTCTTTTGGTACTCCACTATAGATTGAAGTGTATTCTCCGGTATTTACACTGTATGATTTTTTCTTAGTCATCTTTTATATTATAAATTGAACTTGGTTTTTCATGCAAATTTATGCTTTTAGGCGTACCCGATTTCTGTAGCATGGGATGCAAGTCCAGGAGGTGAATCTGCTGGGGAGATAGAGGCATTCCCTCTTAATCATGCAGTTCCATTCTCAAGAATGTTGACATTCTATAGACAGGAGCCATTTACCATTAGAGCAAAATACAGTGGAAACATCCCATATCCCGATAATGATATAGGTAAGAAAAATTCTGGTACATTAAAATACAATTTATTTAGAATTATTTGGCAGTGACGTGCATGTTAGTTATGATCAAAAATGTTTAGTAACACAATAATTCCTCATTAAATATATTTAAGTATCTTCGTTATTCACAATATTTTATATCCATGTCGTCATGTATCCCTAATATACTATAAAAATAAAACATAATATAAAATAATGCATAATTCGTTAAGACAAACATTACACTCGAGTTTCCAGGTATAAACAGAATATGATTCATCAATCCAAAACCCAGTTCCTAACATTAGAGTTAAAATTTAAAAATTAACATTGTAAAATGTTATACCATAACAGTTTGGTCAATATCTACTTCTTTGGAGCCTGGTGTAGGACAGCATTAAGGCATGATTATTCCTGGTTTCATATTGGTGTACATCCTCATGTCTTTGATGATGATCTATATTTTGCTTTACATCAATATGTGACATAGGTCATACATGAGGTCATATGTCATTTTTCTCCATTACATATATGGATGGAGAAGGGGAAGGTAGGAGCATATAGAAGGCGGATAAGCCGCCAGGAAAATGGGTGGGTAGAGAGGACAAAATGTAACCACTCATAATATATATTGAATAATAATGGGAACAGTATACATCCCTGTCGCACACCTCTTTATATTTCATTATCATTTTTAACCTCTTTAATTATTAGTAAATAATAATTTTAACTAATTATTCAAGCTATAAACACTTTAGCAAAAACTTAGCAAAGTAAAAACAACTAGAGAATTAGAAAACGTCATCTTTTTCACAAACAACCAGAGGTGGGCGTTAGAATCTTTATTGATTAAATTCGAAACTATATTTTTAGTATTTATTTAATTTATTCATCAATTTAAACCCAAACAAAGGTATAATTAATACCTTTCAAACGAGACATCACTTGCCATAAGGTCCCATTTAAAATTATCGGTCACATTGGCTCTGTAACGTCACCTATCACTATTACGTCACTTGTCATGATTGGTTGGGAAGCCTATGTCCGTTTTTCCCCCCTACAAATTTCACTATTGTAAGTATAACCGTTCAAAAGATACGAGAGTGGAGGGGACTTTTGGTTAGCACTGTATATTCTTAAAAAGTCAGTCATTCCAAGAAAATTGAATGCTCTCATCAAAATAATGTTTGGGTACAAAGGCTGTAAGATTCTTTCTTTAATATCAATGTTTAATTTGAATTTATCATTTTCTTTTATGCAATTTTAGGTACCTGGGTTATAAAAGACATAAAACCGAATTCTGAAGGAAAGCCGCAGAAAGTGAAAGTAAAGGTCCGAGTAAACCTCCATGGAATCATGTCTATATCGAGTGCTAGTATGTACGAAGCAAAAGAGTCAGTTGAACCAGAGAGTCCGGAAGAACAACAGAAAGAGGCACAGGTGAACAGTAATGACCAACAAAATGGCGGTGTGCAGACTAATGAGGGTGGCGAGTCGATGGAAACGACCAACGAAGGAACAGGAGCCAACAGTGGAGAAGGTGCTGTTCCTGAGGTAGGCTCCGGCACCAGCTGGACGAAGAAAATATCTGCCTGGTTCAGCGGGGTACGCATATTGTCCCGGCGACGCTGGCCCGGCAATCCTTTTTCGTTTTTCGTTCCACTGTTCACTTTTTGTTCTTTTACTTACATTCACAATTTGGACCTTAAAAAGTATTTTTATGATGCTGTTTTACCGTAGCTTTTATAGTTTCGCAATGCAGGTTTTTTGTTTATTTATTTTTTTTTATCGGTTAGCGAATAATATAAGCAGTGCAACAATTTAATTATATTTCTCGTGTTTTTGGTACACTCACTGTGTGAAACCCGTGTTTATTTAAATTTATGAAAATATCTATAAACTGATCAATATTTATCATGACCATAGAAGAAGTATTCATTTAAAGAATACAAGAATTATATTGTAGAATAGAATTTCGATTCATTTGTCTACTTATTTTGCATTGTTTTCACTCTCAGAAAGATAAGATCTCTTATCTTTCTTATCAAGATAAGATAAAACTAATGTGAAGTAACTAATTTAGAGTATTAGATCAGAAGAGTATTAGATTAAATGGATATCATTAAACATCCATACGATTAAACTATATGATACTATGCAAGCTGTAGCGATTTTACCTGAACATTTTCTTTATAATCCACAAAGAAAATGAATTTCCTGTAGTTGGCTCTATACTATGAATCACAATTTTTTTATTTTCGTTATAAAAGGTACATATATTCTAAAAAATACCCTTTCGGGCTACATCATAGAACGCTTTCGGACTAATAAGTCCATCATTAGTTCAGTTATCAGCTATACATATATATTAATAAATTCAAATGATGTTTTAAACAGATTTACATGGTAACGTAGGACTCCCAATTGTTGCCGACCCTGAGAAACGCCTCTCTATGGGCCTTAGGTAGCAACTCAGTTGCTACCTAGCTGCTAGCTGCATTTAAAGGGTTTTTACCCACATATTTAGAGTATTCACTCATGTATACCTGGGAACTGCACTGATCATATGGACTTATTAATCCGAAAACGTTCTGTGATTCTCATTCTGTGAAAAATTTTCTTTATAATTAGAAAGCACTTCATTATCAGTTTTACATTAGAACTTTTGGTGTTTTTCTCCACCTTTTTTCAATCTATTATTTTCTTTTCTGTGTTTCCTCTCACTTCATTTTATGTCTACTTCCATCTGTTCCTTCTATCACATCGTGTCTCTCTGCATAGTTTATCTTACCATCTTATTCCCTGTGCTAACCCTGATCTTTTAATGCATTTCTTTGGCCTTTCATATATTATCTTTCATTTAAAGATTTTTAGTTGTTCTCTTGTAACCCTTACAATTACATTTCATAAGTAGTTAACACTATTATTTCTACTTCTACACACGTCATTGATCATTGATGTATGTGTCTGTATTCCATTCTTGTAAATTATGGTAAACATTGTGTCTAATGTTATAAGGTTCATATCTATCTCTCCTCACTCTTCTGCATTCGTTTTTGACATTGAGTTAGCTCAACGACATATAAACTCGTTCATTTTTTTTTTATTTTCCAAACAACTAATAATCACTTCAACTTTTATTTACTAGGGTAAATAGATAAATAGATAGACTTAGAGAGATGATCTTTTGGCCTATTCTACTGCGACCTTCTCAGATATATTGGTATAGATAACAACTCTAGTCATAGATAACAACTGACCCTTTTTAAAAAGTCTAATAGCTTTGAAACTTTACCTTCTTCTGGTGTCTGTTGATAACAACCTGTTGTTATCAACAGGTCTTCGAAGACACTTCGTCTCAGGACCATATAACCTATGTAGGGTCATACGTAGCCATGTTACCAATTCCAACGGTAACTTAAACATCCTAATTTGTAATTATATATAATGTAAAACAACTATAAATTTGTAACATTTAACGGGTTTTGACCCATATATTTTGGTGGCTCATAGCATGTTTACCCCGTTTACACTGATGATGGAATTAATATTCCGAAAACGTTCTGTAATGTAATTGTGATAGCCCGTTTGGGCATTTTATTATATACCTTTTATAAAGGATTTGAAATAAAAAATTTTGTGATATATGGTATACAGCCAGCTACAGGAACTTAGTTTCCTAGTGGAATTTACTTATCCTTCCTCTCTAATAGTTCGGGAATATTAATAAAAAATTAAAAAATTAAACTATTTAAAAATTACTAAAAACATCGTTTTTTTAAACGATTCATTTTGGAGCAAAGTCGTAGCATTAAAAAAATCTTTAAATAAGCCGTTAAAAAAAGTTATGTTTTTTTGCTAATAAACAAATAGAATAACTTTGCATTTTTTTATAATACATCTTTCTAATTAGGTGTATCGAAAAAGCGCTTAAAAACACAGATTTAACAAAAACAAAAACCTACTAATCTATTAAATTTAAGTAGCCGGGACGTTTTTCACATTTGGTTCCAGTGAAGATAGCCTCAAATTAGCTGTCAATTAAGTTTCACAGAACGAAATATTGCGTTGGCAGTGTTGCTATGTCCTTATGTTTATAATGTTATATGCTTCAAATACAAGAGATAAAGCTTTTAAAATGTACAGTTTTATTATATTATTTTAAGGATTCTGCAATTTTATACCTTATATAAAACAATGAATTAATATTTGTTTCGTTTGACATTAATTTCAATTAATTATTAGAACTTTTTTTTGGCAATTGCCCTTTGATAAATTAGCGGATAGATTTGGCAATAGAGTCACAACAGAGTACAGAGGCAATAGAGTTATTATTTATTTTTAAAAACTGTTTTAAAACTATTTACTTTTTCTTTTTTTTGGTAATTATTAAGTATAACTTTTTTAATATCTTGTTGCTTTTGATTGCGTATGTTTCATTTGTAATGTAAATTTCAACACTTCCAAACGCCAATATTTCGTTCTGTCAAACTCATTTGAGGCTATCTCCACTGGGACTAATTGTGAAAAACGTCCAAGTAGCCATTTAAAATTCAGCTTCTCGCGCAGACTCTGATAAAATGCCGGAAAATTCACAATTTCTATTGAAAATTTTTGAGTGACATAAATACAGTACATCCGTTGGTCTTGCACATTGTCATCATTCGTATTATAGAAAATAAACCAAAACATGTGAGCCAAACTTACGTCGGTTATAAGAATTAGCAAATGGATAAGCTTACTATTAACGTTTTTATACTTTTTATATCATTGATTGCATTTTGAAAACTGGCTATTCGAAATATTCCAACACATTTAACACAAGTTGTGCTTAAGAATTCAATGGTTTATCAGGTATACTCTAAAAATAAAAACCCTTATAAATATTTCATATCACTCCGTTGACATGGTTTTAGCCATATTTAAATAAATAAATGTCAATTTAGATATTTGAATTAATATTATTGAATTGATATTGATTGAATATTTAAATGACTCTAAAATAATTTATAAACACACTACAAACGTTGTCAAAACAAAACTTACAATTGCCAGTAGGAGAATCAATAGGCACACTCATCCTATGGTTGACTTTGTTCGATGTATGCTGTTGTGTATGGACAGGCGGCTTAAGTTCATCGATTTAGTTGCTATGAGTAGGAAAGAGACGTAATATAAAAAATATTTCGTAAATAATGTCATACTTGTGCAAAGATCTAGCGGATGGACTTTATATTTCATCGTCGTCAGTATTTGAGCCTTACTGTGAGGTTCGGTTTCCTCGTCACTGTTGATAATTTCTATGGACTTATCTACTTCCACTTCACATTCTTCATGTTGCTGTGTTGCTCAAAAATTTTGATAAACAGAAATTGTGAATTTTCCTATTATAATATTTGAGATATACACATGTTGGCTTTGTTTTTTATAATCGTCGAAGAGGTAAAGCAGCTTCAAAAATATTATTTGAGGTCCATTTATCACATTTTGATTATATTGTTTGTTTTTATTGGTTCTGCTTTTTGTAACGTAGAAGTATTGCTGAAATATTTGAATAAAATATTTCTTGTAAAGTCTAGCCTGGACGACGCTGAATCTTGGTAAGAGTTATAGATTAATTTATTACTGTGTTCAACGAGAACACGTTTATTACCCATTTTTTAGATCTTTGGTTTCTATATTTAATTTATGAATTAATTGAATAGGCAGGGTTGGTCATTCATAATAGTGCGCCCAGATTTTTGGCAATATTCATTGGATTTTGTGAAAATGTCAAAGCAAATCGATATCAATCCAAAGCGGGCATCTTTTATGACGTCAGTTTTGTTGAAAGTATTACACCTCTTAAAAAGTAAATGTAATGCCTATGTAATTGTTTATGTTACTTTATTAAATTTAACATCAATAAAATAACCTAAATTTTAACCCTTTACGGTCAAACGCGATGACAGGTAAAGTGACGTACAAGTCACTGGCATGTATTTGCATATATCTTCAGCTGAACCATCCGATTCTAAAATTTCCTCAAGAATTTTGCAAGAATGCAAGAAGGACTCAACTCCAAAAAATGTGTTTTTCAGGAGAGACATTTTCGCAAAGCTATCTATTGTAAATTACAGGTACAACTTACAAACTTACTGAAAGTTGTACCGTGTTTGAGAGAGATAGTATTTTTATTATTGATACTTAAACTAACATAATATATAATAACAGCTTTGGTGTTCCCAAAAAATGGTGATTGAACTTAAAAAATGAACGATCTATATTGTTTAAAGATGAAATAAAAATCTTATGAGTATTGCCAAAGTAACAGGGTGGACGTTTTGACTGACTAACCTTATATTTTAATTAATTATTGATAAGTACCACTAAAGTTATATAATTTTGTAGAATACAGTGTGAAAAAAGTCTTCAACATTTATGGTACTAATTTGTTCTTTGTTCTTCTTTTTATAAATCTTCCTTTATACATAAAGTTAACGTACATTGACCCTTGAGATATTGAAGGAAAAAGACAATTTGGTGGAAGACAAAAGTCGCGATTAAAGGGAGACAATCGTGATACAAGACGTTAACAAACGTTAAACGTTGACAACTTACAATACAACAAAATAGTGAAAAACCGCAAAGGTCACATGCGCATTAAATAATCTTTCTAAACGCGCCAAACTGTTGGTTTTTAAAAGTTGACTTTTGCGATTTGTCCTATAGAAACTTCCAAGTTTGAAACTTATTTGTTGCTGTTTCGATTTCCTTATTTTTGTCAACAATCAGACACCCTTCCTACAGCATTTATTTTTAATCGACGATACTAATTTTTCGACAATGCTATATGGCTTACTATCTGTGGTGGTTCTTAGACTAATTTGGTCCATCTTGGTGTAGTATAAACTTTTCTAATGTTTCTGACCGTCCATAGTTTTTACAATTGGTTCGGTTATACTGAAGATTTTATCTGAATTATTTATCTGTCAAACTGCTACTCGATAAATACTCTGAAACAAAGAGAGAACAACTGAGAGCGTACAACACTCTTAATGTGAATGAATGCTTGACAGGAGAGCATTTTCATAAGTTCTGCGCTTGCTGTGGTCGCCGTTAATCATGAATAGAACCTAACCAAATTCAATATCAATATACGACTCAATTGTGTATACCGTTTACGGACTGAAAAAAGGAATGCTAACGGTGGGTCATATACTTTTATTCTCTTATTCAAATCGCAGTGAATTCCTGTGAAATTTAAAGATATGAACGAATTATGGCTTTTTTCTGTAGGACACATAAATTGGTCTAATGTGACAGCGAATCGTTCAATTTATGAATTGAAGGAAAAGAGAAGAATACTTTATTCTTAATAAACCTCGTATTTTTTTGTATAACTATTTCATGTCTATAATTTCTTACTAAGGTAATAAAATTTACTATTCAGCAAAAATAGTTAAGTTTTGGCTAGTTTTATCTTGTGTTCTTTTTAATTTTTATTTTCTTTTACTACAAGTATAAAACCTCGTGAACTGGACTCTGAACATACCTTAACGATCGTTTGTCCTCTAAAACTACTTTAGGTTCTAACATGCAGTACGCAATTTACAAGTACACAGTTATTGTAGAATATGTTTGTGTATAAGTGTAAAAATTGTCATAACTTTTAGCCATTAATTTGTTTTTTATAACAGTGTTCACCATTTTAACAGGTTTCTTCATTAACTTTCGATTATTTCATATTATCCTTTAGTAGTTACACTGTCTTTTTATGTTAATAATCAATGCCTGTTCTAACCTATTCTCTTTTCTGTTAATGTATCTTATGTAACTCGCTGAAACAGGAGTCGTCATGTTGCTGCATCGCGCGTATTTAAGCTGTTAGGTCGTTTTTCGATTTCGATAGCTTCACGAATGATTCTTGATTTTAAGGAGCGGATGGGGGGATGGTTTTTGCTTTTTCAAAATCTATTTTGTGGCCTGTTTGAATATGATGTTGGGCTAGGGCTGAAGTAGTATCGGAATGTTTGACTGATATAGAATGTTCGTAAATACGGTTATGGATTCGTCGGTTTGTCTGTCCGATATATGTACGTGGGCAACTGGAACAAGGTATCTCGTAGACACCATGGTCTTCATTAGGGATTTGGTCTTTCACGGATCTGACGAGATTGGAAAACTTGGAGTGAGTAGTGAAGATGGTTTTGATGTTTAGAGGAAGAAGAGTTCTACTGATTTTGTCAGTGACACCTTTAATAAAAGGTAGAAAGATTTTGGGTTGATCCGGCGGCAAGGTTTCTTTTTTGGGTGGAATGGGGGTTTAGATGTTTTTGAATGCTCTTATTGATTTGGGTTTTGTGGTAGCCGCTTTGTAAGAGTGTTTGCCTTATTGAATTGATTTCTTATGACCTATGATGGTTGTCGCTAAGTCTTATGGAACGAGAAATGAGAGTGTTACCACTGAATTGAGTTGGGCGGGGTGATGATGTGACTGGGCATAAAGATATCGATTTGTATGAGTGGGTTTCCGGTACACGGAATAGGAAAAATTGTGAGGTAAGTTTTTCTGAAAAAGGACATCAAGAAATGGCAAAGACGCTTCAGACTCGAATTTAAAGTGAATTGAATACTAGGACGTATACCATGAGGCCATATGACAAAAGTGTCATCAACATATCGTAACCAGCAGGTGGGTTTGAGATTTGATGAGGATAGGGCTGCTGTTTCGAAATGTTCCATGAAAATATCAGCTATTACGGAAGAGAGGGGAGATCCCATTGGGGCACCTTTGATTTGACGATAGAAATTATTTTGTAATATTTGAAAAGTATGTATTAGACATGCAGGGTTTTATAAGAGATAGTGTGTCTTGGGGGATTTGATTTTTAGAGTCCAAGATGGAAATGGTTTCATCGATGGGAATGTTGGTGAACAAAGAAACAATGTCAAAACTAACCAGAATATCTGAGGGTGAGATAAACATATTTTTCAGAAGATCAATGAAATGAAAAGAGTTTTTGACAAAAGACGAAGCTTTTTCGGCTAATGGTTGTAAGGATAAAGCGAGATGTTTTGCCAATTTCTGAGTGGGGCAGTTGTATGCACTGACGATGGGCCTTAGAGGAACATTGGGCTTATGGATTTTTGGAAGGCCGGTTTTTGGAACGTTGAGCATTAAATTCTCAACACGGTTCTTCACGAGAACCGAGAACATATATTATAAAAGAACTAACGTAACACCAGACTAGGATTTTCTTCAATTGTAAGCTTAGATCTTTGTTGCATAGTTAGTTTTTCATTTTGAGAAATGCGGCACTTTGGATTCCACTTTTTATTTAGCTGAGAATTATTTGTATAATCTTTGTATAGGTTGTAAAACAGTAAATCTAGGAGTTTGTGCTCTTCACTTACTTCCGTAACTTTTATTATAGGTAATAAGTTTTTGTAGTCTTTTGTAGACTATCAGCTATCAATATGGTGTACAATATTTCCCATAAGTAGAATAAATTCCACATATTTTCAGTGATGTTCGTCTAGTGCTTGTCAGTTCTGTCTCTAAATAAAAACCATTTTTAACTAAATAATATAACCAAAATCGTCGATTTAATTTTAAACTATAGATTTCCTTCTTAGGTTTTAAATAACATTAATAAACACAGTAAACGTTCAGTCAGATAAATTATTTTGTACAAAGTTTCGAAAAGCTAAGAATGAAATCTTGTTTACAAAATTTACTTTCAGAAACATTGTATTTATCACTTGTATTTTTTCCCTTTTAGGAAGGAAGCGACAAAAAGAAAAAACAATCCGTAAAATCCATAGAATTACCAATCGAATCTCTTACCACCGGTTTCTCTCAAGTAGAAATAAATCATTTCACTGAGCAGGAATTTAAAATGATCGCTTCTGATCGACAAGAGAAAGAACGCGCTGACGCTCGAAATGCATTTGAAGAATATGTTTATGAATTGCGTAACAAAGTCAGTTCTGATGGAGATTTTGCACCGTTCATGCCTGAAAATGATAGAAATACTTTGGTGTCGCAGTTAGATGATATGGAAAATTGGCTTTATGAGGATGGCGAAGATTGTAATAAACAAGTAAGTTTTAACTACTTACTACTACACATATTATGGTAAAAATGTAGCAACCCGGGGAGGCGATTTTTTTAATTTTGTTTTTTTTTTTTTTAATTCGGAAACTATATAAAGTACAAAAATCCTTTAAAAAGTCGAAAACTAATGAATCAATCGGAAATTACAACAAAAGTATTATAAAAATATAAAACAGCTTACAAAATCGTATAAAACCTATTTAAATAAATATAAATACCAATATTTAGCTTATTTAAACAATTACAAAGTAAAAAATATTACAAAAAGACAATTTATTTGAATTGTAAAAAGTACTCTCACTCATTAGCGTAATACTTGAAATCTTTATACATTCGCGATGTTACCACATTTATAATCGCTCTTTATGGAGAGAAAATGTTAACTTTATATTGAAATAATAATACACTCGCGATCATAAAATCCGGGTCACCTTAAAATTTTTAAGTTTCTTGAATACTTTTACATCTGGTGCAGTAATAATCTTTTTTTAGGTTAATGTATTTTTTATTTGTCATCAATATTTGTTTTGAAAGAAAAAAAACGGTTTTTTATTGTTTTCATTGAAAAAGCAGAAAACAAACCAAATTGTTGATAAAACAGTTAGGCAGAAACGGGATTCATCTGAGAATAACACTTTGCTCCAATCATTATTTCCCCAATGCGCGTATTGTCGAGCAAAAGCTAGTCGTGCAACTCAATGCGCCCGGCGAAGTAGCCATTACCCGAGAAGATAGTCCAGAAGAACGAAGTCTTCTTTGCTAACATTGCAATTTCGTACTTCCTGTAGACGATTTCCATGAGGTCCGGTTTCATAAACCCTGAAACACAAGAAAACGGTCGTCTGGTTAGCAAACCCGTTCCCTGAAAGCGTTGAAGCACTCGTTAAACCGTAGAAAGGCTTACGCCAACAGATCTTGCGACTTACCGTTGAGTGTGACCGTCTTTCACAAGCGCAACAATCCGTGCCGTTTAAACAACAGTCAAAGGCATTTTTGGCAAAAAATAAACAATAATAAACACTAATAATGGCACTAATAAACACTAATGGTGACAATAATAAACGTTTGTTTGTTGCGTTTGAACAGAAAGTCGAAGCACAAATGAGACATTTAAAACAAGCGGCAGTTACAGGTACAGTTCATTTTTTGAATTGTATAGTTTTCCACGAAATCGGCACTATTGGAATTCTTTGTTACAAAGGAAACCGCTAAGCCGACAACAATTCTCAGAAACATGCATTAGTTTGTATTTGTGTTATTATGGTTATTATAAGGTGACCTGGATTTTATGATCGCGAGTGTACATAAGAATATGAAATAGAAGTATATAATATACTTAATCAATTAGACGACAACATCGTAAAGATAAAACCAAAATTTTGTATTTTTTTAACACAGAAACCGGAAATTGAAGTGACGTAGTACCTTCTCAACATTCCTTAGCATAGACATAAAATACAAATAGACTGAGTGCTAAAATACATTCGCGTTCCCCCAGTGCGACAGAGAAAACTGACGCAAAGCAATTACTGCATCTCTGGCTAATAATGGGCCAATAACCGCATGACCTTCTCATTGATCATTTAGGTCACATGATAAACCTGACAAATTAAAAAGAGATGCAGGGACATCTTTTCGTCACTTTTCTCTGTTGCACTAAGGGAACGTGACTGTTTTGTAGCACGGTCTATTTTTATTATATGTCTATATTCTTTAGTGACTAAAGCATCGAGTTTAAAGCATAATCTTACCAAACCTAACCCAACGTAATCAAAGTTAATATAAACAAGTTGAACTGAACAAGAACAACTTATGAAAGACGAAATAAAAACAAAATATTAATTTTTTACAACTGTATATTTTTTATATTTTTGCAAAATTTGACAAGAAACAATATTTTTAAAAAATATGGCAACATTGGTTGCTATATTTTCCAAAGTTGCCAAGTGACATCAAAATAAACACAACACATTCAAGATGAAGGATATATTTGAAAATTGATGTCAAAACAGGAAATTTTTAAATGAGAATTATAGAAAAAATATTCTTTGAATTTAGAGCATTATAAAATGAGTAGATTATACATATTTCATAGTACACAGAAATACCCAATATTGTCTTAGAAAGGTATATTAAATACAAACTGGGTTAGATTTCTTAAAATGCTCCTAGTACTGCAGATGGGTGCACTGATAGCTGATGTTTTTACAAACAGAAGAACCTAGTTGAAATCTCTCGAGATTTTTTATTTGACAGATTAAATCAGTAGCGAGGAAGGAGCGCATTTTTTCTTGAAACAATGGATTATAAGAAAGTGTTTGTTCAAGGTGAATCCTATCGCTATCTCTCTTTATGTTACATACACTTCATCTAATTCAAATAACGATGCACGTCATCGGCGTCATAGCCTGTGGCGTCACATGATACCAACACAAAATATTTAGGGTGTAGGTGTGTTCTTTTTTAGCACCACTTTACCGAGTACACTGACATTACAGCCACTAGACATATTTTATTATATACGCGTAGAAATCATATTTAAAAATTTCTATTAATGTTAACTTGAAGAAATACACAATAATATGTTTCATTTAATTTGTATAAATGCATTATAAAGCGTTTTTATCAAGAACATTTGTTCGGAACACACTGTAATTGTAATCGAACGAAGGTAAAATTTTGGCATAAATTGGTAACACTTATTTGACAGTTGCGGTATTGACACTTTTTGTACTTCATTATTTTGAATTTTAAAGTGAATATCTCTTGTTTTATATTTTTAACTATCTAATAAAATCTGTTCTTATTAGAACAAAATTAGTGTGTTTTATTTCAAAAATGGCACGTAAGAATTTAAATAGTCGTTGTAAAGAGATGGTAATACTTTTGCAATAATTATGTAATCTATTTGATTTAAAATGGAGTCAGGATTTTTTTATGCTTTGGCAACTATGTCAACTTCGATCTCTGACGTAGATAATGACGTAAGTCGTTATCTAAATTAGATGAAGTATAGAGAATGTTTTAAAAAGGACTAAAACTAAATCTGCTACGGTTTTAATTTCTGAATTGTCGAACAAATGGCGACATTGGTGTTCCACAATATGACAAGAAGAGTTCCTTAGTACTCACAATCATCACAAAAACTGCATGATTGGCATCGACTATTTAATTTATTTCAGTGAATAAGAGAGTCGACATTGTTAGGTGGCATCTTTATCAATGGCCCAATTAATAAACAAAGTGAAATTTAGCTCACTCATGTCTGATTGTCCTCTGGAGATCTCCAAGTATAAAAACATCTTTTAGGAAGTTTGTAATAGGTATTAGGTATAGGTAAACAACAGAATTGTTTTCTTGGAAGAATTCATACATATGTACCCATAAAATTATTATATTTAACTTTAAAACCTCTGTCAAAAGACTGTTGTCATTTTCTAGTATTAGTTGGAATTGTAATTCATTCTTATTTTAATGTTTCAGGTATATATTGATAAATTGCAGCAGTTAAAAAGTATTGGAGAACCTGTTCAAACTAGAAAAATAGAATATGAACTAAGACCTGTGGTTATTGAGGATTTTGCTAAATCGTTACAATTATGTATGAAAGCTTTGGAATTGATCAGGTAAATTTTAGTTTTTTTTTGAAGTATTTCGAGCAATTCAAGTATTACATTAATAGGCTGCATTATATTCCGTTTCTACAGACTGTTTTATTTTAATTATTCTTCAGTTTTCTATTTTCGCAAATACTGAACAGCAATTATACACAAATAATCATCAACTAGCCTCTAACGTCCACTACTGAAGATAGGCCTCTCGCATGCTTTTCCACTTAGTCCAATTTGGCGCCATCTGAATCCATTTTGTAGTCACTCTTTTTATGTCATCTGTCCATCTCGTTGGGGTTCGACCTCTATTTCTGTTAGCTTGTATTCGGGGTCTCCATTCCAAAATTCTTCTTGTCCACCGGTCATCAACTGATCTTGCTACATGACCTGCCCAGTTCCACTTTAGTGTTGTTATTCTTTCAATAACGTCTGCTACTCCTGATCTTTTGCGTATAATAGCATTGGGTATTCTATCACTTAAAGAAATCCCTAACATTATTCTCTCTATTGACCTTTCCGCACCTTGTTTACTCACTGTTGTTCTTGTGAGTGTTTGGGTTTCTACGCCGTAGGTCATCACTAGCAAAATACACTGATTAAATACTTTTCTTTTCAGATACATTGGAATCTCAGACCTAAAAATATCCTTCCTTTCCAAATGCAGCCCAAGCGAGGTTTATTCTTCTTTTCAGCTCGATTGTTTGGTTGTCTCGACTTATTCTGATCTCATGACCCAACTATTTATAGGAGACAACTGGCTCAATATCTTTGTCTTCTACTTAGATGTTTTTGTTGTGGACTAAATTTGTCATAAATTGTGTTTTTGAAAAAAATATTTTTAGACCAACTGTTTTTGTGGCAGTATGGTGTTCTTGGAGCCTTATCTGTGCCTGATCAAAGCTGTCTGCAATAAGAACGATATCATCTGCAAATTTAAGGTTATTTAAAAATTTTCCATCTACATTGATGCCCTTTTCGTTTCAATCTATTGTTTTACAAGCGCATTCTAGCAAAGTTGTAAATAATTTAGAAGACATGTTGTCTCCTTGCCGAACGCCTCTTTCAATACGAAAGGTCCCAGTATCTTCATTAAGTCTTATACGGTTCCACATTGACAAAGACAAGTATCAGAGGTCTATTATATTCAATGGTTTTTTCAATTATCGATGGTTTGCAAATGATCATTTGTTCCGTATCCAGCTCTAAATCCTGCTTGCTCGCAAGATTGATAAAAAAGTCTAGTTTTGATGTCAACCTGTTAGTTATTATCTTCATAAACAACTTATAAACGTGAGATAACAAGCTAATAGGTCTATAGTTCTTTAGCTCTGTTATATCTCCCTTTTTGTGCATACCTACTATAACAGCTTTATTCCACTGAGATGGTGTAACCTCTTTTGAAAGGCATAAGTTATATAATTGTGTCAATGCTTTCAATACTGTCTTTCCTCCTGCTTTAACTACCTCAATAACAATTTGTCATCACCAGCTGCTTTATTGTTTCTCATTCAATTTAATGACTTTAAGACTTCTTTGATTGTTATTTCTGGGATATCCTCTGAACCCACATTCTGGACTTTTCTCAACTTGGTGCCGTCTTTCTTACTCCTTTCTATATATAATTCTGTGTAAAATTCGTCAACTATCTTAATTATCTTATCTTTATCTGTTACCACTTTTCCATTTTGATCTGCGTGCTGAACATTATTCTTCCTACCTAGAGCTTGACATCTCTTCAGCACCTTTAAACTTTTATTTTCCTCGACAACCGTTGTAATCTTTTTTGTGTTATATTGTCGTACGTCCTTTGTCACTGCTTTATTATTATCATGCTTTATTATAATTATGCACATGATGATACCAAAAAATTCTTCGGATTGTTTTGCGAGCAATTTTATCATATGGCACTGATCGATTCTGGTATTTTTATCTGTTATATTCCATAAAATTTGTACATTTGACTTGGTTGACTAATGTGTCGAATTTGATTCGAAATGTTAACGATTTTAATGATCGCTCATAAAATTGTTTGCTTATCTTTCCATTAAACTGACTAATAAAAACTGTTGAAACTATTAAAGACAATAGTCCCGATGTACCTGTATATTTATTTGACGACTACAATTTACCTTTGGCTTCTTGGGCTTAGTTAAACGAAGAGGTCTTGCTTATTAAATATCCAAAACTATCTAGCAAGTTATTATGCGATTGTTTATCTTATCTAAACCTGAGGCAATCAAATAACATACCAAATCATGAAGTTTTTTGGATCTCGTTTTCCACGGTATTAAAGATTATCAGAAACTGTCAGTTTACAAGGCATTTGACAATTTGCTTTCCAATAATCAACACAATAACGTACCTGAATTAAGACACGAAATAGAAATCAGTTTTCAGGAAGTAGAAATAGCCATAAATTCATTCAAAAATACAAAGTCGCCAGGACCAGGCGGAATAAGCAACGAGCTTTTAAAACACGGAGGAGAAAGTATAACCCTAGAGATGACAAAACTTATACAAAAACTAATATTTCATTGCAAGATACCAGACGCATGGAGAAACAGCATAATGATATCAATGTTCAAGAAAGGAGATAAAGAAGACCCCAACAAATATAAGGGTATAAATCTACTGAACACTTATATACCACAAGAGTCCTAACCAACAAAATCAATAACCTAACAACTTTATCAGATGTACTAATTATACATTGTGTGATTTCTTATGAGAAAAAGCAAATTAAACGGGTAGTTTTCGGGGGCCGCTGTGTACATTTAAATTTGAGGATATTCGGCATTTAAACAATAAAATCACTCCAAATAGTGGAATTTTACTATAGAAGACTACAGAAACTATGATCTATTTGTTCTTTATAAACTACTTAAGCATATCACTGACTGGTCTGATTTATTAAGTCTTATTAACTTTATATGTAGTACTAGAATTCTTAGAAACATGCCTTTGTTTTCTATAAAACACTATCACACAAGTATGGGGAATTCTCTCCTATTAACAGAATTCAGATACTGGCAATGACTTCAATCTTATGATCCTGTAGATATAAAAGCTGTAAAATTTAAGCACTAATTGATTGAGTATGTTTAACATTACTTAATATTTAGTTTTAGTATTTTTGTTAGGGTTAGGTTATTCTATTTTTGTTAAATTTTTGTAAAATTGGGACATCCCGTGAATAAATTAATAAATAACTGGTAGGTTAGATCAAAGATTGTATAACCACTATGATTTTTTCTTTATTTTTAGATCAAAAGATCCAAAATATGCTCACCTAACTGAAGAAGACTATAATAAAGTAGAAGATGCATTTAAACATTACTACCAATGGTTAGAGCAGACTAGAGCAAAATTGAGCTCGGCTCCTAATCACTTGCCACCACCTGTAACTGTAGCGCAGATCAGACAGGAAAAGTCAAGTTTCGAAAATTCCGTAAATTCAATACTTAACAAACCACCACCAAAAGCTCCATCTCCCCCAAAGGAGGAAAAGGCTGCAGAACAACAAAATTCGCAAGAACATACAGAATCGCCGAAAAATGCAAAAAACGATGAAAATATGGAGTGGTCGTCAAATTAGATTAATTAGGTGTTTTTTTGTAATTAAAAATGTCGCTAGATTCGACGATATAACAAATATTAAAATATGCTTAATATATCTGATGTATTAAATTTGACTTTCCGAAAGAATGTGTATTATTTTATTTGCCACTATTTCAGATTTACATTTTAATTTTTTATACTGTGTTGAGTAGCTTATTTCTCATGTTTAATTTATTTTTAATTGCGAAATTAATGTATCACAGTTTATGTCACACCCTGTAATAATTAAACATCATTCTTTAGCAAAACTTAGTGTATGGTAAATATAATTTAAAAAATAAAATGTCCTTAAACTTGTTAGTGTATCTCTTTTATTTTGCAACGAATCGTTCTAGAAATAGCTACTTCACATATAGTGGCTTACATCGAATGTAATTACCCACTGCCATTACGGTGGTAGTATAAATTCTCGCTTACGTTCCATAAGAAACTCGTGTGTTGACAATTTTTGAATCGAATCTTCTAGACTGGCATTCTTTTTCTTCCTCTCTATAGTAAAATACTAAGGCGAGCGTTACGGAAGTAGCGCCACCAAATAGCGTTCATCACATTGATTCAATACTCTCCATTAATTCGTTTCTAGTCATCATATATTTATTCTAAGCAGGTTTAAATTAAGGAAACAGAACAAGGTGAAGGCCCCGTAAAAGATGGATAGACGACGTAGAGAGGGATCTTAAAATCATGAACATCAGGCAGTGGCCAAGGAAAGTATTGGACGGGGCAGAATGGAAGAAAATTGTTAAGCAGGCCAAGACTCACAAAGAGTTTTAGAGCCATTAGAAGAAGAGGTTTAAATTAAAAAATGCAAAAAAATAACTAATAAAATACACACATCAAATAAAAAGTAAACAAAAGAATATCCGTCAATAAAAGATATAGTAAAACACACAGAAAAATAAAAGATCGATACTAAAGTCGATTCACGATTCTCCAACGGTCCAAATTTAAAAGTCATCCAATGGACTACTAATTCTGACGTCAAAATGGGCGGGGCTTAGAAAACTTTCCAAACAATTCTAACTCACCGGCAAAATTAACGGAACACCTTAAAAATGGGACATGTTAGATGACTCGAATTTCCTAAACCTGTTATCTGATTTTAGTGATTTTTTTAGTATGTTATAGGTATATTATTTAAGAATATCAATGAAATAATATTGTTGCTAGACAGGTCAACGTCATATTATACCGGGTGTAACAATCATACTGTGTTTTTTCCTTAAAGTTCGAAACACCCTGTGGAATATTCTAGCATATACAAAATATTGAAATTAAAGCTCAATTATAGTCTCAGGCTTTCTTAACATTTTCTTTTTTGATTCATTTGCTTGTGTTGGATAATAAAAAAGTTATACTACGTTTCACGTTTAGAAAATAACATTGCGAAGATAGGGCCATGTATTTCTTATGGACGATAGCAACGCGGCGTTGCCACGACACACACAAGCACAATTTAGGGTTGTATAATTTGTATTTTCGTTTCCACAAACATGAATTAAATTAATGTTTTTTAACGTAATTGACCAAAAGTGCCGATTCGAAACAAGAGATGAAAAGTAGGGAAAATAATTTTAATTAGATAAATAGTATTTACAAAAGATAATTTTATTTTATCTTATTTTAATTATAGTAACGACAGTTTATTTGTTTTTCGGTGAGAATACGATATGCCATGAATCATATAAATCAGTAGATAATATTGACCGCTTGGAATGCGTATATCTAATTATTAATTGCAACTTAAAATAATACGATGTGCGTATGTCAGCTATTTTATGTCGTCTCTGACTACATAATGATAATAAGGCTTTTATTTAGTAGTTATTCTGACTTTACAGTTAAATATTAATTGAAAATGAAAATTCAAAAATTAAGCAAAGGGAATATCTTGGACATCCGTGCAAAAGAGAGTGTCTGAGAGTTTTGGCAACACTGATCTCCATAAGCGTAATGTTATTTTCTTAACGTGAAACAAAGAATAGGTACGTTAACAACTAGCCATGTTTTTCATCAATAAATGCTCATTTTCTTCTTAGTTTCACCAGCATTCTTAAAGGAACAACCATAAAATCTGAGTATTTTCTCTCTAGTCTATATACTGTTTAGATAATATCATAATACGAATGTTGGTGAAGTATTTTAAATTTATATTACAATGGTAGTACAATATAAAACCTGTTTAAGAAGAAATAAAACACAGATGTCAGACTTAACAAAATACTGATTTTACATGCATTAACTTTATTGTACAGTTTGAACTTAAATTGTTTTTTTATGCATTTTTTTTTGCTTTAATAGCGTGTGTTTCCCCTACGAGCCCTTACAACTGCAGTTATTCGTCTTCTCATACTTCTGATAACGCTATCGATCAGTTGTTGGGCAGCCTCTCCCATTCCTCAATCTTTTGCAATTGTGACTTCTTCTCTGTTTTGACTAGCAGGAACCCGTGCCCTAAGTTTTCTGCCTAGCATGTCCCACATATCCTCTATCGGGTTTAGGTCTGGGGAACAAGCTGGCCAATTCATCGTTGTTATACCCACTTGTAATAAGAAATATCTTACACTTACACTATGAAATAAAATTTTCGCCAATATATGGTGAAAAAGGTACCACATGGTCTTGGAGAATATCTCTGATATATTTATCTGCTGTTAATGCTCCACCATCAATCACCACTAACCCTGTTATTGCTCCCAAACATATACCGCCCCACACCATAATTGAACCTCCACCAAAAGGTACGGTCGTAGTAAAATTGAAAGGGGCATTTCGTTCTCCTTGGCGTTAATACAATCTTTCTCTACCGTCGATGTAATTTACACAGAAACGGCTCTCGTTCGTAAAGAGAATTTGACTCCAGTGGTTATAATTCCAATTTTGATGTACTCGACCAAATTGTAGTCGTGCTAAACGATGGTGTCTCTGGAGTCTGGGAGCTTTTATTGGCACATATGACTTGAGACCGGCTTCTTTAAGTCTCTTTCTTATTGTGCGCTCAATTAAATACAAGTTTGTACTTGTTATGAACAGACATAATGACTAAAATGTAAAACACAATACAAATAAACAAATTAATTAGACATTTAAGACTTTCTTGTGACAAGGAGCTTTCAAAGCTATGTAGATATAGTCTATAAAATACAAATATAAAGAAATATTGCATTAATAACAGGTTCCTTTAAATTTGCCGGTGTGTGCATTAAATTGTTAACTTCTCATAGCCTACTTTAGGCTTGTTTTTAAACTAAGCAGAAAATGAGGATTTATTGATGAAAAACATGGCTAATTGTTAACGTGCCTAACTTTTTTATTATCAAACATAAGCAAATGAATCAAAAAAGAAAATGTTAAGAAAGCCTAAGGCTATAATTAAGTTTTAATTTCAATATTTTATATATGCTAGAATATTCCACAGGGTGTTCCGAACTTTAAGGAAAAAACACAGTAGGATTGTTACACCCGGTATAAAATGACATTGACCTGTCTAGCAACAATATTATTACATCGATATTCTTAAATAATATACCTATAACATACTAAAAAATCACTAAAATCGGACAACAGGTTTAGGAAATTCGAGACATCTAACATGTCCCAATTTTAAGCTGTTCCGTTAATTTTGCCGGTGAGTGTATTTTGTGTGTATTTGTGCCATAAGAAGTTGGAAGTATTCAGGCTTCAGTGTATAATATTCCACTTTTAAATTGTTCTTTACCGATGCCTCCAAAGATTGCAACGGAGTAGCAGCTGCTACTGTATCAGGAAACGTAATTTCTGTCACTAGATTAACTCAAGGCTGTAGTATTTATACCGCAGAGCTCCAAGCAATACTTGACGCACTAAATCATTGTAAAACCACAAATGAAAAACTAATACTAATATTATCAGATTCACTAAGTTACAGGCCATTAAACATGTTTATTCTACACACATCAATATATTCCTAATTAGAGGTGTTGCAACAGCTCCAATTTTCTGGGAAAACCATATTTATGTGGGTTCCATCCCATGTAGGAATAACTGGTAACGAGCTAGCAGACAAAATAGCGATTGAAGCAATAAACAATGTGAACATTCCGACTACAATAGGTATACCAATATCAGATACTAAAACTTTATTCAAAACTCATGTAAACAAAATCTAGCAAGAAATATGGGATCAAACAAACACAAATCTTAAAAGCATCAAACCAGACGTATCTTCAAAAAATCTTCCGATACCACCAAATAGCAAAGACCTGGTAATTATCAGCAGACTCCAAACCACTACCAATGTGCCAGAGATGCCAAACACCTTTCACAGTCAACCATATAATAGACTGTCCAGAGTAACCATAGTTAAGGATTCAAGATACCCAACTGGTTACAAAATTCAATGAAGTTCTGTCTTTTTTAAATTACTGTAAACTCTATAATAAATTGTGATTTAATTTTTGTTACATTTACATACATGTACATTGTACCATATTGTTGTAAGTCATGACTTTTAAAATGTGTCTTATTTTCTCTATTTGTATCACAAACCTACCGCTAATAACCCTAATGTTTCTTTGACAGTGTAACGAATGTAGACAACAGCCACTTTTGAGGTATAATACCAGTTTTGTATATTGTGTTAAATAAGTGCAATATTATACATATTTAGTCATCATTCAAGAGCTTTAGCAATTCAGTAGGAACCTCATCAGGTCCATTTGCCTTTCCAGTTTTGGAATTGCTAAGTGCCACTTCTACTTCACATTTTAGGATTCCAGGTCCCGTTTCACCATTTACCTGAACAATGTTATTTCTGTTGTCCTCAAACAATTTTCTTATGTATTCACCCCATCAATTCATTTTCTCTGTTAAATCTAAAATAATCTTTCCGTCTTTGTTCTTAAGCAAACTTATTTGGTATATTATATGGATAATTTATATAGTATAAAATAAAACATAAAATAGAGTTTAACATATATTTCTTTCGAAAATAATAAAAACGACTAGAAATATTAACAAAATGTTATAAGTGTATATAATTAGTTCTATTTTAATACTTCCTAATTTGAGTATATTGGCAGCGGATGTGCTTCGGAATTAACAACGTATTCGTCTAGATTCAACAACTTAGGATCGTCACTAAATAATAAATACAAATACTTCAACGTTTCCGAAAGGAAAAACGATTCCATTTTGTCTTGTGGTCTAACGCTTGCTTCATTTCTTACATTTCCTATGGACGTATACCCGTTAACTACTTTAGTGTATTTTTCAAAGCCTTGAAATATCTTCCAACCCCAGTCTTGGTAAGTGGTATTTCCAGTAAGTTGATACATGTACCACAGGCTTTCTACGAATTCTGGACGAAGTAAATTGTGTGCGTCGTTTGATTTTACATACATATCTTTGGAATTTCCAGTCTAAAATAAAAATAGTCTTTATTATCAAAAAAAAAAAAGAAAAAGTATTTAGGGGACAGTCTCATGCGATTAAAAAAAAAGACACATTTTAAAATTAAAACAGAAAAAAAACTATAATATTTATTAACATAATTCCTTTTGGAGATGATTAAGTAAGTCTTGAAGTACATAAAAAAAATTTTAATAGCGATTTTAACTTCATTGGTGTCCTGTAGATGGCGTGTAGTAAAAAGTGCGTTTTTGGTGGTAAGACACTTTGTGGGTCACCTGTAACAGATATTCAAAAAATTCAAAACGGGTTGTATTCGTGAGACTCAAAACTAGATGATAAACCTTTAAAATATGCAAATTATATTATTTTGAAGAGTTTATACGAATTTTTTCAAAAAAGTGGAAAAATCGCTATATTTTTCGGTGGATTTACCCATATATAATAAAAGGGGGGTGGTTTTTAAATATTTTAAAGGTTTATCATCTAGTATTTTGTATGTACATTCGAAGAATTTTTGGTTTTTTAAAATCGGTTAAGAAGGTTCGGAGAAAAGTGTCTGACCAGTTTGAAAATGTAACTTTTGAGAAAAAAGCATTTAAAGTTTTTTTTACATAATTTTCGTGAATAAAAGGCTGATAACTTTATACTCACGTTTAATCGGCCATTCCTGGTGAATATTGAGGACCCTCTTCATCCAACAGTTGTTGTAAATGGCTTTGTAAAGCTGTAAATTTCAATACAACGTCGCGATGTTTTATAATTAATTCATTTGTTCATGTCCGACTGGAGTCTCAATTCACGCCGCGATGCTGCCAGTATAAGTGTAAAAACGGAACACACCTAGATCGCATGTCAATTCAACGAAAACGTATTTATTTATAAATGTAGATTTAAAAAAATTTCATAACTAAAAAAATGGTTATGTTTTATTGCCAAAACGTCTTGAAAAAAAAGTTGATTTCTAAAATAAAAAATTAAAAAGGAATTTTAAAAATAAAATAATTATATTACACTCTTTTTAATTTGAAATTATAAACAATATTTGGAATAATAAATGTATTTAAGTATACATTTTATAACTCAAATAATACCTAATGAACACAAACAAAATTGATGTTAATAAAACATTATTTATTATCTGCACAAAACCGGACTTTCAGGAAAAATCGGTAGACGGAGCAACACTCTCGGCGTGCCATATACGCTACTATCGGCGTGCCATACACGCTACTATAAACCGCTAAGGAGAAGTAATCCAGTGGAACAAATAAATTTACACTGGTTAATTGCAACGCAGAGAATCTTAGTATTTGTAAAAAAATCCTATATTCCGGATTTAAAATTCCAAATCCAAATGTGTATAGTAAACGCCAAACGTTATACAGATATACATACTATATAAAAATGAATCACTAATACATACCCAACGTATATACAACATATATACAAAAGCAAGAACAGCTGGAGCCTCGCGCTCGCCGCGCGGAGAGAAACCGGTTTTCATACGTGCGTAGATAACGTTAATAAAATAACTATAACTTATATTCTAGTGGGAATTTCTTTTTAAAATTTTAGGAGGGAGTTTTTGAATGTATATGGAAGCGATTTATATAAAAAAAATAAAATTGATTTTTTGAAAGTTTCGCATGAGACTGTCCCCTTAAATAATTTTCTGTGCTGATGTCATTATAGAAATATAATAAATCATAAAAATATAGCTAACTTAATGACATGTTATACAATATTACCTGCATATTAAAGTAAGTAATTTCAGGTGCTAAGAATGTCGGCTGCGTTGCATAAGTTTGATAGCAAGTATCCAAAAGATCTTCCGCTAACTGCCAATGTTTTTTCGGCAACCCATTATGAACACCCAAAGCCAAAGTCCCTGGCAAATAACAGGTGAGATGGTCCATTTTGGGTTTAAAATCTTTGCCGCCACCCAAAAGTTCTCCGATAAACAGATACCGATTTGGTTCTGTTCTTCTTGCAAGGTGCGTTTCCATTCCTGCTATACTTTCTAAGTAATCTGCTTTTAAGCTGAAAAATAATAAAAACAAATGTTTATAAGAAATATGTAAGTTTTGTTTCAGTATAAATAATTGTAATTCCAATCCAATTTTTGCCTTTCTCGACATCATCTTCATAAAAGAGACGTTTTAAATTCCAGAACTCTAGCCCCCATCCGTTTTTCTAAAACAATAATTGTTCCAGAAGCCATTGAAATAGAAAATCGCCCTGACTGCATCAAAAAATGGTAAAAGACGCATCATCGAACCAGATTATCATCGATTATATAGAAGTAAGTACAGTGTCACGTAATAACGACAATAGTGCAGTAATTAGTGAACTGTTTATATAGTAAAATATATAAATGGAAACAGAGGCCTGGAAGTCCTGATAATGAGGAAGTCTAATGGGAACTACTGGCCTCTTAGGGCAGATTCAGGCGCAATAAGTTCTTGTTAATCAGCCACGTCCTCAATACCAATTATTAAGCAGAATTATATGCCAGCTTTCATAAGAACAATTTAATTTACTATACTATACAGTTCGATTTTTAGTACGCTTATGCCCAAAATTTCATGCAGGATATGACCCAAGCAGTTTTTTGAGATGCCTATTGTCTCGGCTATCTCAAGTACCTTCAATAGGAGGTTTGCCGATACAAGATCGTGGATTTTTGTCACATTATCCTCCGTGGTAGCCGAAATTGGGAAGTTAAGATTAATGTTAGATTACAAATTAAAGGAATAAACTAAAAGGATAAATTACAAATTAATATTAATTTGTGATTGAAAAGATTGTTAAAAAACATCAAATAATAGTAAACTTTACTTACTAGTCTATAGTTTTTCCAGTCTGTACCCATTGCTTAAGTAAATATTCATAATAACTATCACCTCTTGCTCCTACCGTTATAGTAGCGTAAGTGCGGAACTGACCAGTATTTGCATTAATAAATATAGGAACTAATCCATCTTTTTTGTCTAATTTGTGAATTATTTTTGATACCCTTTCAACGGCATTCTGAAAATTAAAAACGTGTCAACAGAGCAACGAATTATATTCATTATTATATTACACGGTGTGGAAACCACTTATGGAATAAAATTGTTTTTGATCAAATGAAAAGGCAGATATCAAGCACAGTTTATCAATCAAATCTTGCCCAAGTAGTTTCGCTTCCTAGCGCATCTTCAGGGGCATTTCGTCAATTTTGGCTTATCCAACAATTTGTGGTGAATGTTATAAACATAAAATTGTACATTAAACTGCACTACACAAGGTCAAACAATTAAAACTTTTTTAAAAAGGAGAAGCTAAATTAGCTCCTGATGCCAACCAGATCATTTGGGTGCCAAAGCGTCCTTTACAAGAAAGTAAATGTAAACAAACTAAAGATAGAAAGTGTGCGAGAATTTTACATGGGAGGAAACTAACAAAAGACTGAGACAAATAGAGTATCAAAAAGAAACATGGACAATAGAAGAAAGATGGAATACTTACAGTGAAGTATTAAAGACAATAGCAACTGAAGTGTGTGGAATCAAAAAATATAATAAACAGTTGAAAAGGACAAGATGGTGGAATAAAGAAGTGAAGACAGAAACAAAAAAGAAGAACATAGCATGGAAAAAATACATCGAAACGGGATTATAAGAAGATAAAGAAAACTACTATAGGGAGATACGACTGGTAAAAAAGACAGTCACACAAGCAAAAGCAAAAACATGGGAAGAATTTGGAGACACAAGGCAAGGAAAACGAAAGGAAATAAACGCAGTAAGGGATACTTCAAACCAAATACAAATAAGCCCAGAATAAGTAGCTAGGGTACGGAAAGAATATTATGAGAAAAAATTTGATACCGAAGTGATAAAGGAAGACAATATAATCAATGAAGGCGAAGAAAACACAGAGCTAGAGCAAATAAGTAGAGAAGTAATAGAAGGATTATCAAATATAAAAATAGGCAAGGTAGGTGGAGATGATGAAATTGAACCAGAAATGGTAAAATACATGGGAGAAGAAGGAATAAACTGGCTATGGAAAATATATAAAGGCGAGGAAAAAACAAACAATCCCTAAAGACTGGCAGAACAATATCATCGTGCCAATATACAAAAAAGGAGAACATGTAAACTGCGACAACTATAGAGCTATATGTCTGTCATTGGTATGCTTTAAAATATATACAAAAATAATAAAGAAGAGACTGAGACAAGAAGTAGAAATGGTATTTGGAGAAGAACAAGCGGCATTTAGACAGTCAATTGGCTTATTTTAGATATTTTTTGAACACCCAGGGCCCTTGTATTAAGGCTAAGTCAAAAATCATCGTAGCAGCAGTAAGTTCAGCCGGAGAGGCTGAAGATTCGCCTTCAGGATGCTGATTGGGGTCATCGAGACCTGTTGGCGCAGAGACAAACTAATTCATTTGAAGCTTTTTTGATAAAAAACGAAGGGTTTGATTTATTTCAAAACTTTACAGCGTCAATTATTTTTTTTTATAAATCAACATTGTATTAAAACAGTTTAGTTATATTCAATTAAAAAAAAGATATTTTGACATAAATGAGCCATGTTTTAGTAACAATATTTTAAATTATATTTTTTCTCATCAATGATTTATAATTTTTATCTTTATTGAAAAGGTAGCAGGTAGATAATATGTCATTTATGTTAAGTGGTTTATTACGGAGTACTTGACATTGGATTATCTAAACCAGTAGTTGTGCATTGTACAAAACATAATCGAAATTACATGTGATTAAAAATAATTAAAATCCGTATAATTACATCATAACCTTCAATTAACGACAATATTTGTAGAAAAAGCACAAATCAAAACAAAAAACATGTCTACAAATTGATAGATAGATGTATAGTCAAATAGACAAAAAGTAAAATTAAGGCAATTCTTGAAAAAGGCATATCATAGTATAAACAATAAGCTATACTCATGGACATCAGAGTCTACATATCGAAACGAAACTGAGCAGAATAAAAAAATTTAACAAATGGCTAGAGGAATTAAATTATAAAGTGATAACTTAGAGATTACATTAGAGCCATTACTATTCATCAATAAAAGAGCACCTATCTATCTAAATAGCCTAAATTGTCCACTGCTAAATGTATGCCTCCATAAGATCTTGCACTCCTCTCTATATGGTGTCATTTTATCCAGTTTCCATAAATTCTCTTTATTTCCAGTTCATGTTCATCTGCTGGGTAGCTTGCCTTTACTTCTGTAGGCTTTATGTCTCGGATGGCATTCCACTATCTTTCTTGTCCACCGCTCATCCGTTATATTAACATGTCCAGCCCAATTTCATTTTAGATGGAAAATAGCCACAACAGCACTCCCATGTTGTTTCTGATCACTTCATTTGGAACTCAGACTTTTTGACTTGTCCTCACCATTGAAATTTCCATCTTTCTCGGTATTATATGTATTTTTAACTAAAATTGTCTTAAAAAGTATTTTTAAAGCATTTATTAACCCCCTCTGTGGCTCAGTGGTAAGAGCACCTACCTTTGAACCTAAAGGTCGTGAGTTGATAATGGTAATGCCAATGACCATTAGTTGTCGACACATTAAACCTAATAAAAAAAAAGCATTTATTATAATACAGATTTTGTAAGACTTCGATAAGTTCCTGATCTTCTTTAATCGCCTCTATTACAATGCCATCCTCGCCGAGTGCCTTGTTATTTTTCATCTCTTTCATTTCAAATTAAGCAAAAGTGTATAATGTATCAGAAATAACAGAGTACTCGGATTTCAATCACGATCTACTAAGCAAAAAAAAATTACAAAAATTTCAGGTGATACTAAAAGTTGTGTGTACTCAGTACTTCTCAAAATAAACAAAAGGGCAAAAGAATAAAGATATATACATTTTTACATAATGCCTTAATGACAAGAGCATTAACAACCAATAAAGAATTTTTTAAAATGAAGCAATGACTTCTTACAACTGCTGGATCAAATGCATCAAAGTCAAAAATAGCAGCATAACTGAAACACCATTATGAAGAGAGGCACCTGTGGCAGAAGAGGTTCCCCTAGGTTCAATCTCAGAGAAGTAATGAAAACCAATAACTGTCCATTTACTTGGGCAAATGTTAAAAATTTACAAGTAACAATCATTTATGTTAAAAAAAAAAACAAAGAATAATAGTCCAATATAGTATAAATATTTATATTTGATACTTACCTCATATTTGGGATCCCCTGTGACCCTACTCAGGTCTCTAAATTCTAATTGTATGGTAGTAACTTCTGAAGTGCTACTATCAGGAGACCACTTGGGAGCGTGTGGTTTTCTAGTAAATAAGTTTATATCAGAATATGGAATGCCAGATTCGGAATCAAAGCATGGAAGTAACCTATCTGCTAATTCAGTCTAAAAATCGGCAATAGAAAATGAAAAGTTATTTTTTAAAAAAACATACAATTAGTTTGCAAAAATGTTGTTATTCAGATAATTTCAATCATTTTCAATCTAGCAACGGATAAGCTACTGTAATAGTAGTTACACAACTTACATAAGACACACAGTAGATATGTATACTCTCTTATAGGGCATTGTTAAATTATCATAAGGCCAGAGGTCTGCCTTTCGAGCCATGACAGAATTCGCCATTTCTTGGATAATTAGTTGAAGGAGTGCATATCGTTTCCCTTTCAGGATATGGCCCAGGTATCCAATTTTTTGTACCCTGGTAAGTTAAGCAATTCTCTTCCAGTATTTTTCATTTCATCCATTTGACCATCCTGTAGCGGAGATTAAAAAAAAATGCGGTTACATGGTAGCGGTTTAGATGTAATAAAAGCTTGTCTTGCTTGTTGAGGGTATCATTGATCATTCACCATCATTTCCAAGGTTTTGAATGTTCTCAATTGCTCTATTTGAGCATTATCTATTTGCAGTTGTGCTTTTAACAGTAAGTTTTTTCTTATTGCCATACATTTAGTTTTTCCTTTCCTGCATTTATCTTCAAGCTGTATGTGTTTCTACATTATTTATTTTAGTTGGCAACAAATGCATATTATCAGGTTAGTTATCTGTGATTATTCCGGTGTCGTCAGCGTAATAAATGTAATTTATTGGGTACCCATTTACCTTAATACAACACTCAGAGTCAGAGCCTTTAAATGCCTGTGCAAAAACATGCTCCACATAGAAGTTGAACAGCACAGGAGAAAAATAAAAACTTCTTTGGTTTACTTTTTTTTTATTATTGTTAAAAACTGTGTTGCCGAGATAACAAATCTCGAAATTTTAGATAACATTCCAAAGAATTTAATTGGTTACACCAGTACAACGTCCAAATCGTTACGCAGCTCATCATTATTTCAGTTAGTGTACACCTTGCAAATGGACATATGTCCCAATTTTCAAAAAAATCGTCAAATACCATATTGTCAATATAATTTTAACAACAGTATATAAATAATTAATTAAACATTTACATAGATTACTTACCGCTTTTTTTAAGAACATATCATCTTTACTAAAGTGATATATACTAAGTAACCCTCCCAACACTCGAATTGTAACTTCAAATAAATTGACATCCCTATTCACATCAAAATTTAAATGTTTATCGACCCAATTTCTTGCTTCATCATACTCTAAAAATTTAAGAAACATTCAAAAATATATATGCTCTAGGTAGTTTTAGATTAGATAAGAATTTAGAAATACTTTTTACAGTGGATATTTTTATTTGTCTTATTTGTTATATATTAAAATATTTTATGACAGCCTTACTATGCCCCTGATAAAAAATAATTGACTGTTTGATTTAGCTTGTGTGGATAAAACAGGAAAGATACTGCTTAGAAGAACAAAGTTTTATGGAATTGACACTATGGTAAGAACTTCTGGAAGCAAACATAATATCAAATAATATAAAAGCAACAGAAGCAGACCAAGTAAACCAAGAAACTTCTAAATCGGGTTTAATACTTTCATATTCTTCTTTTATTACTTGCTCAAGATTTCAAAATGGCCTCTCACTGACAATATGAATTCCAGGTGGTATGGTCTAGAGAAGCGGTGCTCAAAGGGTCGATCGCCAAAGTTTTTGAAATCGATCGCGATTCATGGAGAAAATATGGGGACTGTCCTGACTCACTACACCTGCATGATCGAAATAATTACGATGATTATAATCTCTTCACCCGAAAGTTGCACTGGGAGTGTGCTGTATCGGCATTATATGGCTGTTAGTCAAGCATTAATCATTAATTACTAAGTTACTACTAGTAAAACATTTTAGTAATATATTATTTACATTATTTGAAACTCGATATGAGTACCGCAAAAAAGAGTAAAAGGTATTATTTTAATAATGGGTGGGAAGAAGAATTCCTAGTTACTATGGTGAAAGACAGTAGCGCACCTAGAATTTTCCTCTGGGGGGGGGTTTGGTTGGGCACCGAAATTTTTTTATGCTACCTCCACCATTTTAGTCCTTAAAATTTGTGAATAAGAGTGTCCGAGTAAGGTCTTGGGGGGGGGGGTTAACCCCCAAAACTCCCCTGGGTGCGCCACTGGTGACAGATAACTGTGTTTGTCTTGTTTGTCGGTTTTCCGTTGCTCTGCCCAAACCCGGAAATTTAGAACGGCATTATAAAACTTTGCATAAAAACTATGAAAATGATTTTCCACAAACTAGTTTGTTTAGAAAACGGGAAGTGCATGACTTGAAAAGTAGTTTGAAGACGGAACAATCAATGTTCACTAGGCCTGTTAAACAATCAGTAGCTGCAACAATCGCGTAGTTCAAAATTTCTTATATATTGGCACAACATATAAGACATTTGAAGATGGAGAGGTAGTGAATGAAGCATTCATTGAGGCTGCGAATGTATTATTTGAGGACTTCAAAAATAAAAGAGATGTTATGTCTGCCATCAAAGAAGTCCAGTTATCACATACAATGGTTACTAGATGTATCGAAATCATAGACAAAGATTGGGAAAGCCAAATTAAAAGTGATATTATGAAGTGTATGTACTTTTCTTTGCAATTTAATGAGTCAACCGATATGGCTGATATTTTCTGACATGTTGGCTAAAGAAGAATTGTTAATAATGCTGCCTCTGAAAGAAAAAACTCCCAGAGAAGATACATACACGGTTTTTATAAATTTTGTGAAACAATATGAACTACCGATTTACAAACTTGTGTGTATTATAACAGTTGGTGCACCATCCATGACTGGCGTGAACAATGGATTTGTTGCATTATGTCGAGGCTAACGATGGATTTCCATCATTTTTTTTATTTCATTGCATCATTCACCAGCAAGTTTTGTGTTCCAAAATTTTAAATATGGACATCATGAAGATGATAACAAAAATTGTGAATTCAATCAGAGCGCGAAGCTTGCAATGACATTCTTTTAAAGCGCAATTCAAATTAGCAGAAAGGATTTAAACAACTTTCCATCATTGAAAAAAAGGGTAGTCGCTCATTTGAATTATGTTTATTATGAGACGGAACTGCAAGCACTTCATAGAGAGTTTAAAAGATGCTTTCCTGATTTTAAAAAACTGACAGATATTGTAACACTTGTGTCTAATCCATTTTCTTGTAAAGACATGGAAAAAATAGCCACTGAAATATCCGTTGCGTTCAATATGGAGATCATTTCCGTCCAAAATGAGGTACTGAAAATAATTTCAGATATACACCTTAAATCCAGAACGACTGATATGAAATCTTGGTCTTTCATATCGTCTGAGAGATATCCGTCTTTGAGACAAGTAGTTCTGCAGCTCACAGAATTCTTTGGATCAACATACTTGTGTGAGTCTACATTTTCCCAAATGAAGATAGTGAAATCAAAATATTTTCATTCTTGCGTTTTTTCCTTGGTAATTACGTACCATTGTATGAAACATTTGTGGATGATATGCAGTGCCATGCACCAACATCCAAATAAAATTAATATGAAAAACATGACTTTAATTACAACTCTCTGTACTTACAACTTTTTATCAACTAGAAATGTGCAATAAAGTTTTTTATTTTTTTTTTGTTTTTTTACTATGCTATGTTTTTAATCCAGGAGGAGTAAACTATAGAGACAGATTCATGCCCAAGAGTCACTAGAAAAGTTACCAAATACATCTTCTTTTTTGTTTGATCATATCAGCCTTCCACTGTAATCCAAAAATATTATATTATACCAATATGTTGCTAAAGTGTTCTAAAAACAACTGTTTTTTATATAAAAGCAAACTAAAAATTTAAAAATTAAAATGTGGTATATCCCATGCAGTATGAGTCTGAGCACCACTGGTCTAGAGACCTTGGAGCCTGAAGAAAGTCCATATACCTCCCTAATACCCAACTATAAAAAGTATATAGGGCAAAATCTCAAACATTTCTTTTACAATGACATGTCTGGAATATTTTGACTGATTAATTGTCAGAAACATAACACTCAAAAATTCCTACCTCTCAATATTAATAGCTCAAACAAACTTACTGTTGCAGACTTGTTTCATTCAAAAAAGAAGAATAATCACGAATATTGTGAGTGTGTTTCAGAATATGTAGTGTATATATTTAGTGAACTATCAAAAAATGTGTCAATAAGAAATAAAAATTATTTTTATAATAACCAAATTGTTCTTTTGTTCTTTATTATCAAAACTAACAGTTAACATCCAGTTATCCATATATTTTTTTACATACATTTGAAGGACGCATACTTTAATTGGATATTTCATTGAGAACTTTTACATATAAAAAATGTAGTTATAAATACCTTTCCTGGGCAGAAATCCCAGTTCTGACTCACTACAACTGTTATTTTTGTACAGATCTTGACCGGACTACATCTGTTATATTATATCTATGTTTTCATTATATTTATAAAGTGGTTATTAAACCAAATGTTTTTAAGTTCTTTAAAAGTTACAACCAGTTTAATTGAGAAATTAGAAGTACCACAAACTATTTATGTTTTTGTTATTTTATCTATAAATTTAGTTTAAGTAGTTTTAAATTAATTTATTGGATTCCCAAGAAATTACATATAAACATTTCTTTACATTTTATACTTTTATTTAAAGAATTTAAATAATTTTATAAAAAATTTCAATTTTTTTTACTTTAAATATATCTTAGTAAATATTGTTTTTTTTTTTATTTGAAATGTGTTATTAAAAAATTAAATTATGTAAGAAATGTTCAATATGTAATACAGGCTTATATTAATAATAAGATCTACTGGTTGTTTAAAATCAAGGCCACTAAACTAAACACACATACTCAGCTGCAATTATGAAAAACCAAAATGGGTTTTTAACAAAGTTTTAATTACCTTCATCAAGACCCATAATGAAAATAGTATCTAAAGAATCCACAATAGTTAAACCTAATCCAAACCATTCAGTAAAGCCTTCAGAAATAGGTTTAAGATGATCATGTCCCCATGCAAACTTTTTGTAGCCCTTCCAAGCATGTTTGAAGGCTTCAACTACAGCTGCTTGCCTTGGTGTTGTAGGACCTATAAAAAATATAACTGGTTAATATAACATATTAACTTATAATATATATATATATCTTACCAGAAAATCTATGTTCAACTTTGGGAACTGCTAGAACATTTTTATTTACATCATTATTATTATTTTTAATTTCTTGGGCCTCAACATTAACTTCTATATGTTTGGGTTCTTCAACATAGCTCTTTATAGTATACCTCTTGTCTTCAACTTCTTCAACTGTTATCACTCTGCTATCTTTTTGTAAATTTAATAAATATGTACAACTCAATAATATTAAAATAGAGATGGTAACTATAAAGCTTTTCTGGCATTTTGATAGCCGATTCCACCACTGGAAAATAGAAATTTATTAAATAAAAATCAATAAAGCTTATCAACAAGTCTAACCCTTCTAAAACGTAATTTCCGTTTTTTATCAGTAGAGGAGTCCAGAGACACGTCAAGTCCTAAATCATATCTGTAATCGACCATTGCTTTGGTAGCTGAATTAACGTACAATTGTTTTGAATAGATTCATACTGCAGTATATTTTTATTTTCGAATTTTAATGTATTAATTTTCCAAAAATTACAACGTTACATTACATCAACTCCACTAACTTTTATCACAAACATTGACAATTGTCGACAGTTTACTGGTTAACGGGGTTAGCCTGCAAATCTTTATCTGTCATCAAAGTGTCAACTGTCAGATTGTTACATGAAGGTGAAGGAAACCCTTTATTTATAAACATTTATATGAATAATTTTTTTTACTTGTCTGATGTTACTTCTTTATAATATACAATTTAACTAATCAGCAAATTTCTCCCTATTTCTAATTTTGCAAATGATTTTCTTAAAAGAATATTCTGAAATTTTGAACTTTATTGTTGTGATAATGTGAATAAGTATAAGATGTTGTATAACGAGTAGTGTTATATTATTAGTTTTCGTCAGAGTTTTGTTGGATATTATTTTTTACTTAATTATCTTTTATTTATAAAAATGTTCCGGATAAGGATGAGAAGATATATTGTCCATTTCTATATATTGAAGGGTAGATTAAACCCAATCTTCTATAAGTTTACTATTTGTTTATTATTATTACATGTAGAAGGAGGGTCGTTAAAGAAAACTTCGCCACACTTCGCTAAGTTTATAGTCAAGAAAAAGATGTTCAAATAGTTTACAACTTCTTCTTGATTTATGTTAATGTTCATGTTATGCATTATCTGTTATTGTAGATTAGAATTCTGTAATTGCAGATTGAGAAAAAATTTCTCACGTCGTTTGTTTTGATTTACAACTCACTAAAAGCTGCCAAAGCGCTGGCTATCGATCGTTTAACTTTTTCAGCAAGAGTTGCCAGAAAAGTTACTACCAGAATTACTGGCGTATGGCGGCCAAGTGTTCATCACAGATCTTCATAACGATGCCGCTTTTTTATTCTTCCACGCCATTTCCTATTATTGCAAAGCAGAATCCGTAAAACGTTGGATTATTCACCAATGGACGGATAACGCCAGCTGGAAACATACCCTCGCGAAAGGTTAATTTAGTCTACTACTGACTTGTGATAAAAGTGTGCTGTCGTTGTGATATTAATACTGCTCAGTATAATGGTAATAGTCCTTCTCCATAATCGACGATTGCCGACAAGCAAGCGCGAGCAATTATTTATCTATGAGCGCGAGCACGACTGTGTAGAGGGCATCCTCGGCTAAACTTGCTCATCATTGTCTATGATCCCCTATGATTGTTCGGTGCCCCTACAACCAGTGAATTGTCGGTTTTTCGGAGACGCATCAAACGGAATCGCTTGCGGTTCGACATATTTTTATGGACGATTGTGTGCACGTGCACGCTTGCACTGTTTGCAGGATAATTATCATGATAATTATGCCGATCATAGACGATCACATCACGCGATCGGGAACCGAAGATTCGGATATTTGATTGATCACGTCTCATGTCTGTGATCCAGTTCCAATTTAACTATATGTGTTCTGTGATCTTGCTGTCATATTGTGTGGTGGCAACAGTGGTTATATCAATCATTTTAATCATTTAATTAACACCATTTATGGGCTCGCCCAAATTTATAATTTGCCGTTTTCCCGTAATATAAAGTAGTAATTGATATTAAATAATAATAAAGAAACTGTTTGATATTGTGAAACTGTGCTGTGCCGAAGAAATACTAAAACCGACAGGATATAAAGTTATAAAAGATGGGTAAGTTACTTTACATATTCATCTGTATGATATACCTGTAATTTATTAGTTTGTTCTGATATTTAATATATAAATTTAATAAAAATTGTCGATCTTTTTTGTTCAATTTCAATCTTAGAAGAACTGAGACATTTTGATGGTACAAATTGTATTAATAATGTGCATAGGTGTTACATGAAAAGGATGACAGATAAAGCTTAATTGAGAAAGAATTTAGGTATACCTATTTATAATCGTTAAAAATAATTTAGAACTTAAACGTTATTAATTTCAAACACCGTTTTTCGAAGGCAATTGAACTATATCATCCAATTTAATTCATAATCATAAAGTTTGCAGTTATATGGAAAATTGCAGTTTTATATGAGAAATGTAAACACTTCATATGCAAATAACTTTTTTACATTTACTACACTTATTGTTGGTAAAAGTGAGTTTATTAATAGCTATGATGAATCTTGTTCTAGTAGGTTAATATTAACAAAATATACCTACTTAACCATAATATTAATTCTGCAATAATGTAGGTATGCAATGTGTGAATATTATCTACAAAGTGGAGTCAAATTTGGTATTTTTTATAATACATAATTTTGGTTATTATATTTTTATATCAAAGTTATCTTCTTCATTATGAAATTTAGTTTCAATTTCAATTTTCCAATCAATATCACTTAATTTAAATATATAAATAAATACATGTAAATAACGATCTCTGGTTCTTTTAAACATAATCTAAACGAAACTGGAGTAAAATGATACATGGTTTGTAATCTAAAAAATGTGCAAGTTTGTACTTCTTCGGCATTTTAAAAATGGCAAGACTTGTAACAAAATAAGTCTCATTTACCCCCAATAGGTGTTTTCATTTACCCCATGCTCAATAATTAAGGGGGTAATTGTAAACACTTAATGTACTTACTTCTTATAGTAAATATCCTTCAAATTAACATTTTAGGCAATATAAGTATTCTCATGGTAGCTATAAATTATAAATCACTATACTTACCTAATACAGAGAGATGAAATTTGTAAAATATTGGCTCTGTTCTAAATTGATTTATGTGTTTTAGAACAATCAAATTTAAGTTGCATAAAATGGTGACCTTGTTGCCATATTTTATTTCTAGCTGTCGGGAGTACTGTTTCCAATTACCCGCACTGACCCTACATTTAGTAATTAGTTTTTGTTATGTTGGTCAAATTTTGACTTTGGCTGGAAATTGGTGAAACCTACTGCACAACCAAGCACACTATACCAAGAGCAGCACCAATCTAAATTGGCTTCAATAAAATCAAGATCTGTCTGGATCACCACAAGTTAACCCTAAACACAAATAAATCCAAGTACACAGTAACATTAAAAATTAAATCTTAGCAGAACATATCAATTAAGCTTAACCATGGGGAGAATTGTCCTTCATATCAGACCTACTGTATAAAATATATAATTAATTTTATTTGGAGAAACACATGTATCTTCATAAGAAAAAATCTCCAAGCAGTAGGTATAATGGGACAATCTGCAAAATACAGCCATCTTAGTTATCTTACACTAATGTGATAATGTGAAGGAAAGCAACACAAGGAGATCACAGCTTTTTCTAGTTCTTCTAACCAATGTACTAAACAAGTTCTTTAAACTAGCTTGTCTTCATCATGTAGAAAAACTTTATCTTCCTAATACAATGGATGTACAATCATATATGTCAGGTTTGTGCTTTTCTTTTAACATTTTGGTCACACTCAATCTAACAACCAACTGATTTCAACCCACCAAGTCCATACATAGAATGTCCAAAATAAAAATCAGATTAGAACTGTGCCAATGACAAAACCTGCTGGTTCTAGATGTATCCTAGGACGATTCAGTGGTAATTCCTTTGAAATACAGTTTATAAATGATTTTAATTGATTGATATATACTGTTATTATTTTGTGACATTATCATTAATTAAGTTACCCTGGATGCTGCTATTATCAGCAACACTATGAGTGAAACTCACAATGTTAGTATTACCTGTTACCACTAGATGTCTGAATTTTTCAGTATAGGGGCCACCAAACTATTCATGTTACTGCTACCTAAATTTTTTGTATAAATTACCTGATTCATGCATTGGTTTTCTTCTTGGTATACTCTTTCACTTTCTATAACCTCATTCAAGCATTTAGCACTTTCTTCTATTTGCTGCTGATAATGCACTGCTTTTGTGAGCTGTATTTCTTCATGTAGCCCTTCCACCTGTATCTGAATGTGATATCTGAATAAAATAGTAATCAGATGTGGGTAGGGAAAAATTTAAAGAGAGCAACCAGAACCACTATTTGAAAAAGTTATCAAATAAAAGCCATTGGTTAATGGAGTTGGAAAGACCAATGTTGAGATGTGAAGATCAAATTTAAAAAGGGAAAACCAACTACAAAGAAGGGTAGTAATTTACCACTAAAACATAATCTAAAATTAAAAAACAATGATTTAGTTACTCTGTGTTGCTTTTATCAACAACCCATTAGGAAAACTCTTAATATTACTGATTCACCTGAAGTTTGAGTTGCCCAGTATAATGACCACCAATCCATTTATACTACTACTACAACCCCTGTGTTTTTTAATAAATTACCTGTTTTTTGCACTTTTCCTGTTGTTCTGTTTCCTGTTCTTCAACATCATTCAATGACCTGGCCTGTAATTCATTTTCTTCTGTTTCGTGTTGTGAATTTGCTGCTTGAGTGAGATGTAGATCTTGTATTCCTTGCACCTATAACCAAAAGTAACTATAGCAAGAACTTGATTTGTCTATATTTAATTTACCAGAGTCATTTTAGAAACTATCACAAGTAAAATTGAAGGATATATACTAATTGTTTTCTAATTGACTGCTTTTATTTGATATATATATATATATATATATATATATATATATATATATTATATATATATATATATATATATATATCTTGATCCTGACACATTGTGTTTATTTTACTATAAATATAGTCTTTTCAAGTATTTTACCAATTTATCTATTTTTTTTACTTTTCAACAGTTTATTTTTCATTTAATCTCTTACAAAATATCAGTTTCTTTATATTATTTATTATAATATTAACCATATAGATAATTTTCCAAAAATGCACAATTCAAATTTATTTTTTATATTATGAATCATCATAGCAGACTCTGGCTACAATATAAAAGGTTTAACAACATTCAAACTCTCTTTACAAAAATTTAATCAAATTAATATGTATGCACGATTCAATATCCAGTCTCTGCAAGCTACAGGCTCACAACAAATATACAATATCATTATAGATTTCTAATCCAGTACATGCACAGTTCTATAATATTTTTACACCAGCATGAAACTTTTCATGATCATGTGGATTTCAAGTTTAGATTTGCATTCTTCTTTTATCCTAAATGCTATAACACCTTATCCATTGTCCAGTTTTGTTTACTAAAAATGTCTTGATGGGCCCCTAGACTAGAAGCAACCAACCTCATATGTGTCCTTATCATAAATTCTTAATAAATTAAATAAATTCTAAATTAAATAAATTAAATAAAATCTCCTTATCATAAATTAAATAAGTGTAAAATCCTCTTTAAAATAATAAAACCTTCCCATCAAAGTGTTGTTGCTTGTTGACAATGTGCCAACTCACCCTCAAAATCTACACAATAGTGATAATTGTTAGATTTTTGCTACCAAATGTCACAAACCTAATTCAGCTGTTGGACCAGGGAGTAATAGAGACATTATAGAGGAGCATTCTTAAGACATCTGTTATTACAGGAGACAAATGAATCCAAAACTGTTCCTGAAGTTCTCAATTCTTCAACAATGAAACATGTTATTTGCAAGGCCTGATGTTTTAAACTATCTATGACTTTCCAAAATTTCAAGTCACCTGTCAACATTAGACATTTGATATTTAGGAAACAGGAAGTTATGTCGTTAACGAAGATATTAAAAAGAATTGGAGAAGTATGGCCTTCTTGAGGAACTCCAGATGTTATGTGAAACTGTCAGACATGTGACAACCTATCTTGACTCTTTGACTTTTCCTTAGATGTCGAGTTTTCAATCCATTCAAAAAACCTGACATGAAAGCCTACAATAATTAATTTGCCCAAAAATATTTGGTGATCTACATGATCAACTGCTTTGAAAAACCTATGTATAATGCATCTACCTGTTTGCGGTCTTCCATATGAGATAATATATCAGAGTGATAGCAAACCAAGTTTGTTGTAGTGATTTTTTTTTTATGTTGTGATTGGGATATTAAGCCTTTACAAAACCAAGAAAGTTATTTTGTTATAAGACTGTCGAAGAGCTTAGGGATTGCAGATTGTATACAAATGCTACAATAATTTTCAATATTTTCTTTCTGACCATTTTTAAATATAGGAACAACATAACTTTCTTTCCATGAAGAAGGAAACAGAGGTTTCCAGAGATCTATTAAACAATATAACAAATGGTATTACAAGGGTACATACACACTTTTTTAATAAAAAATTAGGCACTCCATCTGGACCAGCAATAAGCTTATTGGGCAGCTCATTTATACCATTAAAAATATCGGTCATGGTAATCTTATAATGACAAATATTTGTACTAATGTTGCTATTTAATGGATGGATAGGTATGTAAAGGTTGTTGTTATTTGGTGAATACACAGTTTGGAAGAAGCTCATAAATAAATTAGCTATGTCTTGACCATTTGTTGCAGATTGGACTTGATAAATATTTCTAGATGGTTCTGGATGGTTCCCATGCCTTAATGATATTGTACCGTTGTTTTCTTGAAACCAGTGGATCACGAACTCAAACTTTATTAAAAATGTATAAAATGCTGAATTAACGGACTTGACATTGAAAAATTAATTAATTTGACAAACTACCTCGACCCTAGACTGTCCTCGTGTACGTTCTATAAAAATGTTATGACACTTCTGGCACAGAATACTCACACTTTGCTTGAAA